TTACCTTAATCTACGGAAATCAGTCACCAACGTTTCGTTAAAAACTTCTTAAAGCACTTTAACAATATTGTCTGAAAACTGTAAAATCGACCCTTTTTAGCTGATCTGGCCAAAAAGTGTCAAGTGAGATTATCCCATCACTTGGCGTTCGTCGCTGTCCGTCTTCCTCGTTCGGTAACTTTTACAAAAATCATTTCCTCTGAATCTACTGGACCAAGTTCATTATAGATAGAGATAACTGTAAACAGCAATAATGTTCAGTAAAGTAAGAATTACAAGCAAGTCACCATCACCAAAACAGAGAATTGTGTCATGAATTCTATTCTTGTCTTCAATGTTGAAGAGTGTCCTTTGTTTAATATGCACTGCAGCACATAGACCAAGGTGAGCAACACAGGCTCTTTAGAGCCTCTAGTTTGTTTAATAAAACCCAATAACTCGGAACGTAAAATCTGAAATTTACAAAATCCGGGAGGATATCTCAATAGATATAAACAATTCTCCGAAGTTTCATGTAAATTGGTTACAGCGTTTATGAGTTATTTTCCGACTTGCTGACGACGGACGGACAACGGTATACCATAATACCACTCATGATAATATACGTTCCGTATAAAAACTCTAGGGATCACCACGAAAAATATTATTACCTGTGACAACAAAACAACCATGAAATGAAGTTGAAAAGATTATGAGTCCCCTGCACTATGTTCAAAAGACTTTTTAATAAAGGATCCAATAATTTCTAATTTAATACTGGAAAGTTGTGGTAGAACGTTTTCCGAACAGAATTAAATTGAAATAGGTTAATTTTGATCACCGTAGTAATATGGTTTTGTGATTTGTTGGGAAGATATGATATTGTCATTCACTTGATTTAAGTTATAAACTAGAAAAAGTCATTTTTCAAGTCAAGAATACCTTTTTTTATCAAAATTTTATTTTTAAAAAACCCGGACCATTTGTTAAAAAACCCGGACGATTTCATAGTTGCTCTCGAAAAAGCCCGGACAATAATAAACACTTATTTTATTTGTTAGATACAAGGAAATGGTGCTCCTTTGTTGATCAAAACATGTATAGTAATCAAAATAAGTTGGGTAGTCATGAAAAAAACTATTACAGATAATTGACCTTATCGCATGTTTTTTCACTCGAAAAAGCCCGAACTACACTCGAAAAAAAAACGGACCGAATCACTCGAAAAACCACGATCCTAGCCGGACACTATACCTACCGTGAATGGCATAATATAACATTCTAACAAGTTTTTATTGTTTAAAATTTTTTTTTTTTTTATTGTATGATGGAATTTCTCATTCGACATTACAATTAGTCTCTTGCAGGTCGATGATTAAAAGGCATGTTGAACCATTAGTCTATTTAATAAGCATGTTTTTTTTCTTGTTGTCCTTTCAGATTGAGCACAGAATCTTCTTACCATTTATTATATTTCACATTTAATGTAGACATTATTAACCAAATCTGTAAATTTTGCATTTTCAAACTAAATCTTCTTACGTTGCACGTCTATTCGTGACCATTTAAGTGTTACTTCTAAAGATTAAATAAAAACATATTTAAAGTTTTTCTTCTATACCTCTTTTTTTTGTCATAGGTTATTATTGCATCGCTTGTCTAAAATGTCTGCTAGACTGATAACACCAGTGAATTACATTTCGTAACAAAGCTTAGCAGTTCTATATTTCATTAATCATTTGCATGAATTGTCATGACTTTTGTAATTCTATTCTGTCATATAGATTATTCAAGAAATATTCATCATGGAGTGGTCCATGTAAACGTTTTTTAAAAGTCTGACAAATGATTTTTTTTAGAATCGTGCGTATGAACACTTATTTTCATCTAGACTGCACAAAATAACAAACATAACCTGAGAGTTCGAGTAACTGTTAACATGTATTTCATTGAAAAATGTCTAACAATGTGTCGTCATTTACACTTGTACAGTAAATTGTATGTGTCAGTTCCGACACACGCATCGTTAGACTGAACTATTGGGACTTGTTGCTAAAAATGTCAGATTCTTTAGATATATGTGTACTTCTAAGTCAATAAAGTTTATATTGCCAGGCTCGTATTAAATTCAATTTTCATTACCAAATGCTTCATCTCAAGAGGGCAGTAAAACAAGAAACAAACTTACAAGAAATAAATAGTTTTAACAAGTTTTCTATTTAATCCTTATAAACCGACTTTAAGAACTTTTTATCATCGATTTTGTATCTTTAAGAATTCCCATCGCTCTTATCTTTAAAATGCAACGGTTTTGTCTACGTATCTTTAATATCTAACCCTTTATGACTGTTCTGATGACTAAACCAATATTTGTAAATATGCATGAAATTTACATCTTAAAGGGTAATTTATAGCTTTGACCTGATCAAATCCAATCAATAATGCCCTCTCAGGACATTTGTACAAAAGCTATAGTACAATATTCTAAAGGCTCTTCCCAACGATTTGGCAGGAATGGAAATTAGAACCAATTTATTTATTGTAATAGTTCGACATTGATGAAAGTGAATCATGGAAGTAACTAATATTACAAAGTACTTCTTTACATAACACGTTTTTTTATACATTCATCCTTTTTTTATTCTATGTATGTACACCATGCTAAAAAGAGTTTCACACAAATCAGTGATTTGATACAACTCTGACAAACATATGCATTATCAGACAGATAAAGCATATCATTGACGCATCATAAATACAGTGACAATTTACCTTCAGTAAAAGATGCTTGTCACATGAGTTTTACAAAACCAGTAGGAAACTACAATTGAATTAGCATATACGAATGTCCATTGTCCCACTTGATATTTGTCAGTGCTTTGTTTATATATACTTACCTTCATTAATCAATGTAAAGACTGACAATGAGGTTGTCACCGGACGTCTGTCATTTTGAATAATTTGTTTTATTTACTATGCGTGATATTCCAAAGAATAAACCCCAAAAAAGGTGCGATTTGAAAAGTTTACAAGCAATACTTTCACATACACCATTGCTAGTTATACCGTATTACAATAAATCTTCTGCATAATAATACAAACGTACATAAATACAATACGATTTATGCATTCGTTCTATAAAATAACATGTTTCTTTCTTTTTTAAATCATAAAATATATGACAATACTGTTTGTTATTATCGACGAGCAATTGCAAAGGGAACAATGACAACACATTTTTAAAGACTATGATATCATTGTATTACTTTCTGCATTTTCTCTGACGACCATAGTGTGAAACTTTTAAGAGAAATTGGACAGTATATAACCAAACTCATCATATACATATGCAAGAGATATTTATATACGAATAAAATGGTCCGTTGATCGAAATAACTATTTGAATTATGACTATATATTTTTTTTCTTCAAATTGTCAGTTTCTAAGATAGCACTTAAAGTCAATTTATATTCAAATAGAAATCACCTTTTCGTAACTTTTGTCAAAAATTGTCATTTTTGCTCTTATAAAATTATTCATAAATATTTTTCAATGCGTGATGTTTTCGTTTAGTGAAGTAATATGTATTTGGGAGAAGACAGTTTAATTCTCTACTCTTATTATCTTGGGATTTAGTTCTCTTTGGACACAAGATGATTTGCGTGCTAACTGTTACTTTTAAACGAAAAAAGGCATTCCAGTGGTAAAATGGTTGTCTAGAACTGATTACTTAGTTAGGATTAAGAAATAGAACTCCTTTCTAACTCCAAAATATTGTCTTATTAAGAATGCTGTTTTAAATATGTATTTTTCACTTTTATTTCCCTAGAGTTCAATTTGTTGATAGTTGATTGAGGTGCTCAAATAGATTATCACACCCAAATGAATTTCTCTGTCAGTTAAGCAAGCATGCGATCTGACAAATCTCAAAAGACACTTTTCGATTTTTATAAGCATCCAAAAAGAGAAATTGAGATCATCATAATGCTTTATTCATCTATGGTAAGATATTGATTTAAGATTTTTCACAGAATTCTTATGTTTGGGTAATTAGTGTTTAATATGCAAAAGACATATGACGGCGTTTGCCACTTTGTTCATCGTTAGATATATAGTAGAAAATGAATTAAGGAATCGCCTAAGCGGTAATTGAATGTTTGAGTCAATTTGAAAGACTGTATTCAGAAACTCACTCAATTAGAAAACAATCTATTAATTGAAAAGACAAGTCTAATTGGTGTAATAGTTCTTAAATTAAAGACTGTCTTTTATGAACACATTTTCTGTACTGATAACGTGACATTGTAGGATCTGAAACGCACTTAAACAATTATTTAAATGTCAGAAACTGCAATGCTTTGCTATTCATTTACAAAATTTATATTTTTGCGTCCAAATTACTTAAGTCATGAACTATTATATATGCTATACTGTGCAGTTACTGCAGTAATTGTACATTTCCATAAACAATACTGAAATAAAACAAAGAAGAACCCAAAGACAAATCACAATCATAAGTAGAAAAGGGACAGTCAGTGTCAATAACGGGCCAACACTTACCCTAGTAAAGTCTGGGCTAGCACTCCATCTTTTATGAAGGGAATGTCGTTTCTGTCACTATAGTAACACTATCTAATTACATAAACATTTGTTATGGAAATCAGTTAGTACTTTATGAAAGATCACGTTAGTTCTTGCGATGAGTTGTGTTATGAATTAATAATTGATAATTTTATCATTTTCAGCAATTATACAATATCAATGTGTTTATGATTGAGGTTAATGAATGTCTAAAAAATGAGGTCACTGTAACTGTATAACTATATGATTGTTGATGATCTTTTTAACTATTGGCAAACACATGCTGTCATTTTATATGAAAAATTTATGCATGCTATCTTCTACCTTTCATACTTAGTCAAATATTTTTTAATAAGAAAAATAAAATAACATTTTTATCTTGACGATGTAATCAGGGCTCTTTTAATATTAATAAAATGTACTTTAAATATAATTTCAGATGTTTTTGCAGTCGATCCAAGTTTTGATGTTCCAGTCTTCAATGTCACTGTCATTGCAGGAAAGACTGCCATATTACCATGTACTGTAGAGAATCTTGCTGGACACAAGGTACATAGTCTATAAATGATTAGAATTCATGGAAGCAGTTTTTGTTTGTTGACCGCAAAATCAAGGACAAAGTTATTAGATACTTAGTATATGAAGTTCAAACTGCCGAACTTCTAATTTTGAAGTTCTAGCTTCTTGTTAATACAGAACTTTTTCATTTATCTCTGTTTGATTTGACTAGATCAACGTTCATCGCTCTCTCTCTCTCTCTTGAGCCAAGTCTAGATATTGTAAGTTTTATTTTTCTTTGAATTTATTTAATGTGATAGAATTAATATCTTGACTGCTATTGTTCTGTTATATTGTAATTATCAGTGCAACACTTTATCATTGCTGTTTTAAAGAAAATCCAAACAATTTCTGTTTTGTCATTGCTGTAGTCAAGGAATCGAAGAAATGTGTCGTATTCGATCTTATATGGTTTTTTTTCTTCATGAATGTCACTTTGTAACTATTAAAACTAAAGTCAATAATGAACGAAAACATTAAATATCTTAAAATTAGAACTTTTTTTATCTCTATCAATTAAAAAAGAAAAACTACTGAAAAAATGTACATATATCATTAATATTTACATGATGAAAGTAACATTTGATAAATTTCATACGCCCAAAGGGCATTCTGGATTCACCTTCATCAGGAATGCCCAATCGGCAATCCAAAAAAAAATAAAATCCAAGGATGTATAACCGCGAAAACGAGAAAAGCTATATGATCAAAATGATCTAACGTAAAATCCAATTAATTCCATCTACGGTCAACTTTGCCTGAGGTTGTTGGAGACTTAGTTTCATAATAATTTCTGAATTTATCAACGGAAAATCATGTAAGTACCGAGGCCTTGACTACTGAGCCGATGATACCCTCGGTGACTAATAGTCCACCAGCAGTGGTATCTACCCAGTGCTAAAACTTTATAATTTGCATGCCTCCGAAGCCTTTTTCTAGATTTACCGTCATCAGGAATGCTCAAAGTCATGCAAAAGCTCGAAAACGAATGATGTAAAAGTACCGAAACATGTGAATAGCTATATGACCAAAACGAATTTGAAATAATAGCCAAAGCATCTGAAGTCAACTTTGCCAGGGGGAGTTTGAACCTTTGTTTCATAATAATTTCTATATTTCTGTGCAAGGAAATCATGTCCGAAGCTCTGACTACTTTCAAACTTAACAATTCTAATTAGTTTCATAATAATTTCTGAATATCAACGGAAATTGCATAGATATTTTCCACCACGCACTGTTTTATGAACGTTTATCTTAATAATCATAAAAACACAACAGTTCAACTCCGAAATTGAATACTATTTTGTATGTGTAAACTTCCCTTTCGGAACTAAGACATATTTCGTGAAAACTAATTATACACTGATTAAATATTAAAACAGCAAGCGCAACATTTTAACAGTTTAATCAACCTTTAAGTCCTAATGCGTATCAATGTATATTATAGTACCACAACGAAGCTACAAATAAACGTTTCACAAGCCACCACTTATAATTATCTTTCACACTGTATAATTACCAATTCAACTAAATTACCAGCTGTAAAACCGCTTGGCTTGTTTTAAAACAGAAGTTCGTTAAAATGTTCTTATATAATTATCGAGTGTACGACTATAACACTATAAAACACCAAAGTCTTGTCACAGGCTGACAGTGTCAAACTTTATAAAGCGTTTCCAACTTCTGAATTAGGTTAGATAAATTCCTTCAGTGTAGAATTGTTCGATTTAGAGCTGATAAAAGCAGATGAATTCAGGGGGAATGCATGATGAACGATTGTTTTTCTCGACCATAGAAACTCTACAGAGACTTAATTTACAACTTATATATGGAAATAATTCGACATGTCAGTGTGAAGGACATGGCGTGAATATGATAACGAATACATATAGGTACCATTACGGTTAAAAGGTCAATGAGATATTTTGTCAATTTATAGAATAATTTCCAACTAACTTTTACATATTACTTTTAACATAATACGAACAGATGGGTGCTGAATAAAATTATTGACCATTTGCCAGTAAAAAAATAAAATAAAATATTTTGTGTTACAGGTCGTCTGGACAGACAGATTTTCTACTTTGCTTACCTACGATATAGGGCGGATAATAGACGATGATAGAATAGGCATAGAAAGACCATTCACAAACGACTGGAATTTACTAATTCATGATGTCAAGTACAGCGACGCTGGGAAATATGTCTGCCAAATAAATACGACACCAGTCAAAACGAAAACAGTTATGCTACATGTGCTAGGTATATATGTTATCAAATTTCATATCTTAGGTAAAACATTTATGATGGATAATTTATTACAGTGGGTCAACAAATATGATGAGGTATCTAAAGTTCATTGATTGACAATTTTTTATATAAGATTGGTGGTAGAGTGCCATCGCGCTAGCGTGATGAAGCATCATATTCTTTCCTTACAGTACACTATATATAACGAAGTAATGACCGTTAATTATTCGTACAGGGATTCAACTATTACATAATGTTTAGGTGTATTTCAAATAATGGGATTCATAGTTTATAAACGAAAATCTTTAAATTGTTATATAACATAATCGGTGTATGTTGCATTAAATTAGATTAAAAAATTCTCTGCAAAACTCCTAGTAGATTCGTTAATATTCAGTTCCACAAAGTATGATTTCACTAAAATTTGCAACAACAAAAAAAGTAAAGAAAAAAGGTTTGTTCACTGATTTCTTCTCTGGTAGCATAAAACCATTATTTAGGAGACATAATTACGTTTCCAAGAGTCGATTTGTGATAAATCATCCTAAATTATTGAATACACTTACACTGAGCACTTTTATAAGGTGTAAAATGTTAAGCATCTACCCATTGTATATATTCCCTTCTGTGTATACCTTTTATATGACTAAAACATTTATTGATGAGTTGTCAGAAACTGCAAGTCCCTTTGTTGCGACTAATGATCAATTGATTTGAATATATTCGGTATTTCTTCTCAGTGCTGACCTTGCTTGTATCTCATATCATCCATTTTATTTTACGTGAATCATGCTGACAGCATTTCAGAAGTGCTGTTCACGGTCCAATGTGTTTGAAGCTCCCGTCGATCATTTAACAATTCTATGTCTTTCATATGTTTAACAACTGGAATAATATAGATTTCCGCCAAAATAAAAGAGTTGGCTCCCAAAAGTATAATCACGAACATTCTATTCTTTATTTTGTTTAGGTTGAAATACGTTATTGTCTCATTGAACTTTACTCCAAACCTCCTTCCTGACCATTCGATGCTTTTTGAATTTACTGTTTGTTGTTTTTTCTTACGTCACATATATATATATATATATATATAATTACTCTAAATATCAGCACAACAATGTTAATAGATATAAGAAGATGTGGTATGAGTGCCAATGAGACAACTCTCCATCTAAGTCAAAATTTATAAAAGTAAACCATTATAGGTCAAAGTACGGTCTTCAACACGGAGCCTTGGCTCACACCGAACAGCAAGCTATAAAGGGCCCCAAAAATTACTAGTGTAAAACTATTCAAACGGGAAAACCAACGGTCTAATCTATATAAAAAACGAGAAACGAGAAACACTTATGAACCACATCAACAAACGACAACTACTGAACATCAGATTCCTGTCTTAGGACAGGTGCAAACAATTGCAGCGGGTTTAAACGTTTTAATGGTACCAAACATTTACCCTTTTTCTGAAACAATAGTGTAACATCACAGCATAGAAAGACACACTATAAGATATCAACTGAAATAGCTTAACTCAATCAAAGGACATATTAACACCAGTGAACATACACTGAACAAATAAATTTGACCTATGATACAATGCAAATACAAAATAAATAAACTAAGGGAAGAATAATAAAAGTAACATGTTATACCGCTATGAAATGTTAAACAATATAAGAAAAACAATATGCTCGAACAAAAATATCAGCCATTTGCAATTACTTTAAACACAGGTAAATGGAATAATTTTGTTGTTAGGTATACGTGTACAGTTCAAATAGAGAAAGGAAATATTTTTACAAAATAAATAATTTTGATGTTCATAGTACGAAGTCAAAATTTATAATAATACCAAACACTTATCCAATCTATATAAATCTGCAAATTTACTTGTTGTTCCCTCGCCGGGATTCGAACTCATGCTATATATATATATATACGTCTTAACATGTGAGAACTTTACGATAGACATTCTCCATCGGATAACTCGTGGCTATACAGGGCTAACACCATAATATTTGTCTCAAATTTAGCCCCAAAATGTTAGATCTTTAAATTTGCGTTCTCAAATTTGTGTTCTTCCCTCAGCGGGATTCGAACCATTGCTTCTGTGACATCGTGGCAACTCCGCCTGCACTGTGTCCAGGGCCCTAGACCACTCGACCAACTAAGCTATATAAAAATATAGTTTTCGTTAGTCGAGTAATGCCTTTCCTCGTCGGCTTTATATAACACAGCTCCTTGAGCACCGCCCCTTGGTGTCTGTTGCAGTAGGGAAACCTGTACACGATTCTCAATACCTATTACTGCAATATATGTTATTTGCTGTGAATAAACTTTTGTTACATTTATGTTTATTTCTCTGCATCAAATACGATGAGGTTTGTTAGAGCTCTCAAGCTCAAAATCCTAGAGCATTGTCCCTTGGTACCTGTTGTAGCTAAACAATCAAATTTATTTATACATTTCCAGCAAAAAAGTAAAATAAAAGTAACTGCAAATAAATCAAGTCAGTGAGAGGACATTTCCCACATCTCTGGAGTAGCAGCTCTTAAATACTTTTTTAATTTAACATGTAACAGCCTGCATGTATCACTGTATATCAATATTTTAGGAGTATTATATGAATGTATGTTGTAAAGATTATATTTGTTATATTTGTATGCCCCCTGGGGACCTAATTTGGAAAATAAAATATTTTATCTTATCTTATCTTATCTAGGGCTATAACACAGTACATGACGTATAAGGATAAGTTGGATGGTATATCTTTCAGATCAGCTATGTTTTGCCCGTCGTAAATATATTATATACAAGTCTTAAGATTTGGGCAGCGATATTGATACGAACAAGATAAAATTTCAATTCATTTCATTTTGTTCATTTATTTTCTTTTATCTTTTATTTCTTACTGTCGAACAAGTCTTAAGACTGTAATGAGTTTTTCTGTTTGTGCTGAATCGTCGCTAAATTTGTGACAATTCTACGACTGACATGCTCCATCGGATAATCAAGGGCTAGCATAACAAAATACATATATTTCGTTTCTAATGTTAGATCTGTGTTAGCAAATAACGCAGGTTTGGTCCTTCTTTCGGCTGGATTTGAACCCATGCTTTAGTGACATTGTGTGGCAACACCACATGTACTGTGTCCAGCGCCCTAAACCATTCGGCCATTTAGGCTTCGTAACAATATACCTTCCGTTATTCGAAGAATGCATTTCCCCGTTGGCTTTATCAAGGGTTGTAACACAGTTCTTTATTGACAGTGGCAAGTAGATGGTATACCTTGAAGATCAGTTGTTTTTCTTTTCAAATTTGCGCTAGCATTTTTTATTGTTTTTCCATCAGCGGGAATCGCTGTCTGCGTTGTGGCCAGCACCCTAGACCACTCGACCAACTCGGCTTTGCCTTATGAAAATAAAGCTTTTGCTAGTCGAGTTATGACTTTTCTCGTCGTTTTTTTCTGGGATTGTAACACAGAACAGGAGGTATAGTGACAAGTTCACGGCATACCTTGCAAATTAGCAGTTTTGGTTTGTATATAAGGATTATCGTTTTACTTACCATGCAATCACCTCAATATTTATTGTATTATATACGTTTGAATATATGACAACTATACGATTGAAGTTCTCCATCGGATAACCTATAGTTAGACAGGGCTAACACCATGGTTTATATATAATTCGTTTGAAATTTGAACTATTAGATTGATTTATACATATATTCATAACTTTAAAGCAAGGAGAAGTCTTATGGGATGATAAATTGTGTGCATTACTATATTGCACAGACACGTGAAGTAATGTGGCTGTAAAACTTTTTATAGTAATTTTCTTTATTCAAAATCAACATCTTATTTTTGAATTATTACAATAAAAGTCATAAAAAAGAAAATGTGCAAACAATAGTCAAAACGATTAATGAAAGCAAGTTAGATTTTTATTCCTTATATATGGAATTAATTATTCCTCCTTTCATTCCTAATTTTCGTTTTATTTGCAGTTCCCCCTAAAATTAACGTAAATTTATCATCCGGTGACATCATTGCCAGAGAAGGGGACACTGTGACTTTGACGTGTAACGTTTCAGGCATTCCTGCTCCAACCGTCCATTGGTATAGACGTCCACTTGATCATGGCATCAGTAAAGCCAAAGAAAGTAAGATGAAGTTTTCTTCATTTGATTAATATTTGATTATATCTCAACTCTTGCATTCATGAAAATACCATAGTAATTTTGCTTCATGAATACTTTAATCGCTCTCAGTACAATGAATTATAATGGAAAGGGTGTGGGAAATCTACTGAGAGAAAAAATGGTGTGAACTATATCAGTTTGGTTTCAGATCTAAAATCCTTGCAGCCAATAGATTAGCGATTACAGCTATTAATACATGTTTATATTCACAATGTATTGAACATAAACAATATTTTTGGCTTTTTTTATTGTGTCGTTGGGTTACGAACTGATTAACGTAGCCTAACATCTTTCTGTTTTTATATGATATTGAATATCAATGCAATCATAGGCGGTGCTCTGCATTTGCGCCAATTGGCATTTCATTTGTGCCAATATAATACATTTTATTTGCGCCAATGATACAGGTAAATAGTATAAATAATATATCTATATTGAAAAGAGACTTTTGATAATAATGTTACAACATCGCGTTGATAGCATAATGTAATATATTCATTTTAAATCGCATTCAACAATAAACCAAAATTATACCATTAAACACCGAATAGTTTTTTTAAATGTTGAGATTGTGTTGCACTTTTTGCTGGTCTAACCCGTGTTTGACTGTATCATTCAATGTTATTTATAATTGTTTTGCTGCTCACATCTGTTGTGATTCTGGCTTTGCAACTTTTTGGTACACCCATCTCCGTTTTTCAATACATTAGCTATCTTAAATGTGAGGTCTTAAAACTAATTATTGACGTATTTCTTCCTCTATTTGTCTCCGAATTATTTTTATTCTGTCACCTCAAACATGTGAACTCTATACTATTTTATACCTTTCAGTGATTCAGTTTTGTATGAGAAATAAGTATGAACTCACTTACTAACCCAATGGTGAGATACTCTACTACATGTCTTTAAAAAGCCTCATATTCTCGTATTCATCTTATATTAAAACGTTGCCATTATATTTGACCTGTAAATTGGCCCTTAAGCAGTATTTAATTTTGGCGCAAATGCAATGCGCCCATCATAGGAATGATATGAAGTATTAAACGTGAGAGAAGTTATGGATACTTTTTCCAATTTCTTTTGATTAAATGAGTGTAAATCGCGGATTGTTTTGGTGTGCTTTTATTTCAGATTTTTGGGAAATTGTCAATCTGTGTCAAAAAAACTCGATTTATTTTATGCAAATGTATTAAAGAGTACTAAAAAGTAATAAAAAAATTACCGAACACTAAGGTGAATTCAAAAAGGGGAAGTCCATAAAAATTTACCAAATATAACGTTATCAATCAAGGAAACGAGTGAAAAACAAATGTCATATTCCTGACTTTGTACAGGCATTTTCCTCAGAAAATAACAGCAATCATTACAGGGATATTTATATTTTTAAAACTTCAGGTATCTGGTACATGTGTTTATCGATGATGCGCTGGTATTCATTGGTCATTTCTTTGATTATTGACATTTTAAAGAATGTTTCAAAGATCAAAAGATACACTTTCAGTGTGAAAAAAGTAAAATAACAAAAATACCGAACTCCAAGGAAAATTCAAATATGAAAGTCCCTTATAAAATGGCAAAATAAAAAGCTTAAGCACATCAAACGAATGGAAAACAACTTTTATATTCCTGACTTGGTACAAACATTTCCTTATGTAGAAAATGGTGGATTAAACCTGGTTTTATAGCTAGCTAAACCTTTCATTTGTATGACAGTCGCATAAAATTCCATTATATTGACAACAATGTGTGATCAAATCAAATAGACATAATAGGTAAAAATGTCAAAAATAGGGGTACAGCAGTCAACATTATGTTATAATCTTAATCACTATAAAAGCAAACAAATATGTCAACAAAGAAAAAACATAATGGCATATAGACATAGCACATAAGCAAAAATGAAAGACAAGAATACAAAAACTGACCACAACACAACAACACTTTAGCGGGATGCAAGCTCTTGAATACCGAATGAGTTGGGAAATGTATATCCCATATGCAGATGAAGTTGGTATATTGCTACTAAGGTGGGGGAAATTGATAATTTCAAAATTAAAACCGTCTCGTTTGTCATAGTTTCTGATACTGGGATGACTGCTTAAGTCAAATTCGAGGTATAAGTCTAAAAATGAGGCGGAGGAAGCCGTGTCTGTTGTTTCTTTAATTTCTAGTTCTGCAGGATGTATTAATAGAACCTAATCAGAAAAGATTGTATTGTTATGGAAAGAACATCGTCATTATATCTGAATGTGAAATTAAATGATCTGGCTTCTTTGATCTTCTTGTTCTTGACAACTGTCTGAAGGAACTCCGACTCATATGAAAATAAGAAGAGGTCGGCATAGGAATATAGGAATGCCGACAATTTGTTGAAAAAGTCTACCTCCAAATTTAACAAACATGTTGTCAATTAGAAATTCCAGCATACTGATCACTTGTTCCTCTGTGTAGCATGTTTTACCTTTTTGTTCACTGTTAACAAAATATGCCGCATGGTATCCCAAATAAAATTTATAGCGTATGCTACCATTTTTATATTGAAAAGCATAGTGGATTTTTTCTTTTAGACGATTTTACAATTTCACATGGGGAATGTTGGAAAACAGGGTTATTTTGAACGTGTTCAATTCAATGATCCATACAACATAATAACAGATATTTATATATGAAGCCTATCGTTCTATGGTAATATTACATCATCAACCCCAGCTTCTTTAGTTTATGCGTCACTGCTGAAATACTTTGCAAGATCTTGTTCTGAATTTGAGAATTTCACAAAACTAATGCAATTCAAGTCACAAACCCCTTCCAACTGGTTTTTAGAGGAAAATTTATATCTTAAGAAGGGGGAATAATCAGCTTTGTTTTAAATTATTTTTTATGCTAATACAAATTCATCTGTTAATTTCATTTCTATGCATACCAAGATTATAATTTTCACAATCAGTTGAGACATGTGAATAGCAAGCCCAACTTATTAAGACTTTTACTCTTTAAGACCTATTATTTGACAGTAACATTAATATGTAAACCTTATATTATCTATTATACACCACGAATATATATATTTCGTATAAAGATATAAATGAATGAAGCTTTTAAGTAATTTGTACCGTATTCTCATTGCCTCTTTTGTTCTTCATTCATTGACTCGTTCGTTCTATGTTTAAACTTTTAGAATTGGAACCGACGAAGCTTACATATAACAACTATTGGCCATCATGCACATACACTTTTCACAAAACAGGTATAAATTCACGTTATTTTTATTTATTTGCGCATAGCCACAATAGCTAGGCTTGCTTCTGTGTCGTGATAAAAAAATAATAATATAAAAGTTCATTTGTTGAACACTAAGCTTTTATTCAAAACTAATAACATATCATAACTTATAAAATTGAAGATGCTATAAAATTTACTAATTTACATTTTCTAATTTGAAAAAGAAAAGATAATCATTCAATATAAAGACATAAAAAACGAAGGATACGTATGTTCATGCAACTACGTGTGTTTCTATTCCTTTGTGAAATTACACTGAATATTACTTACTTTTTTGAAATGGCACCTGCATGCTGACCTCGGTGAGTTGTTTTAAAGATGAAATTGAATTTGAAATGTCAATAATGTCAACTTTTTCATTTCTTTCGCTTTGGTTTGTGATTGATAATTGCCTAATGTTTATCGCCTATTATATCCTTCATATTTAGGATGACATAATGTCGATAGTGTCAACATATTCTGCTTAAACCAGTCCTTTTTTTTTATGAGTTATATCAACAGATAACAGTTTCCAGATGATTGGTAGGAAACATTATTCTGACTTCGAGTCGACCATTCTTTCATCTTGTCCTCTATTTTATTCGCCTTGCATATAAGCAGCAATACCAATTTTCATGTATTTGAATGAGCCCGGCTCAGAATCTATTCCAGACCATCGCAAATCAAGGGGAGCATGAATCCAGACTTTAGATTTTTTACGAACCTAACAAAAGTTTGTTACAGAAAGCATGGCATGTCGTAGGCAGCCACTATGATACAAAACTTTTGATAAAGATATATAAAAGAAAAAGGTTAGGAATTCTACTATAAATTGAAAGACAAACATGAAATGTTAAACCCTGTGTCTAATTAGAGATTGTCTATGCTTAATTGCTACCTTAGCATATCTTTACATTAATCATATAAACTTTATAACATAATAGTCATATATATTGTAGTCTAGTGAAGAAAAATGTGTTTTTGTATTTTAACATTGTTTTGCTGTTTGTAAAATGCTTTTTTATTTTTGCTTGTGTTTATTCATATATATGCAGAATCGTGTACGTGCATGGTTTTGCCCGATTCTAACAACCAGTAACATTTATACTTGTAATTTATATATATTCACATTCATGTATAGCTATGTATCAAAATTATTCAAACAAATAAGATTTGAAAAAAGCATATTTTTTATGGAAAAATGCAATAGTTGAGAAAATGAAAGCAACGTATATTTTAGTTCACATTTCATGTCGTCGTTCTTTTTATTTAAAAGCACTCGCACTTTACAGTGATTAAAGAGCTGTGTTTACTTTATATAGCTTCAAGCACTGAATTTGCCTGTATTTTATTGATGGAGTGTAAATATGCTTATACCAGTCGTAATTGTGTAATGTAGTATGGGAAATATAAAAACTTAAACTATTCAGTTGAAATAAGCATCAACGTAGAATGAAATTTTTTATTGTTGGTTTCGAAAAATATTAATTATTTCTTCTCAAAATGTTATCTTTATGAAAATAAGTAGATGTCAACAACTTCAGGTGAACGTACGGTACGGCCTTCAAAAATTAGCAAAACCTATACCGAATAATAAGCTATAAAGGAACCCGGAATGATAACATGTGAAACAATTTAAAACAAAACAAAACAACGGTCTAATTTATTTTTACAACCATAAACGAAAAACAGTTATGGCAAACGGCAATCAACGACTACCAATTGATTACAGGATGCTGATATGGGACAGGCACATAAAGAATGTGACGGGTTAATCATGTTTGTTGGCGATCAACCCTCTTCTTAACCTATAACAGTGGTGCAATGGAACAACAATACATATATGCTTTATTTTCTGTATGCGAACTTGTGCTTTTGCAGTACTGCGATATAAAGATAACCTGTAGTTTGAAAATTAGCAATACAGATAGGTGAACTGTCAGTTTATAGACTAAAGTTTGACAAAGTATTAAAGTTTGACAAAGTATTTTGAAACCTTTTTAAACAAAAATCCTATACTACCTTTAAGTATAGGTTGCGTTTAATAAGTATGGGAACAGTATTTCATTAAATAAATTTAGTGCAAAGTATCAAGTTTCAAACCAGATCATCAAGACTTGAGCCCAAGAAAACAGCTTTCATTATCATTGCTTTTTTTTCTCTACAATTTTTCAATGCAATTAAAATACGTTGCATATATATGATTCATTTTCATACTCTTGGAATTTGATGTATTCTGCAGGGATTACATGGTAAACAATTGTGTAAAACATATTCTGATGACGTACATATATTTGTTTACAGTTACAACTGTCGAAGTACCTACTTCACCAGTGGTTGGTTATACAACAATTTTAAAACATGGTACTATCGTGTGATTTCTTCAATCCCACATTTGCTTGGTGTGCAGTGTATAAGCAACCAAAAGTACAAATCTCTTGAACCCTAGTTTTCTGTGCCTTTTAACGTATTCCCATATATTACTCCCGGAGTAGGAAAATAAACCTTCATCTGTGTATATTCATATATTTCCTATAGACACTTTAGACAATTTCCAAAATCTTGTCATTCCCTTTTATACACGCTTCATCTAACATACAAATGTGTTCATCGTCAAACAGAATACCATTGTTGTTTATTTATCAGTTTGCTGTATTCGTAACAAGATTTTTATTGTTGTTTTTTATTTTGAACGGAATCTAAAGTTATATTTTGTTCCTTTATCTGTCATCTCTCAAGTAATTATTTTCCAAAAGCTTTATTGGAACGGGAATTTTTAAATTATTTATAGCACAAAAAGAGTTGGAGTTTTTAATTGTAAGCTATGATTAACTAGTAGAAATTATCTGATAAACAAAGGCTTCATAAATTTTGCTTGGAAAAAACGTTTAGCAGTGGTCAGGAATCACGTGGTTCGAAATTAGTAAACCACGTATTCAACATGACCAAAACTACAAACATATTATGAAAATACGCTAAATACATCCGAAGTTCATTTGAAAGTAGTTTAAAAGTCGAAGATTGCAAGGTTTGTTCGACAAAAAGTCCAAATAAAGAATCAGTTCGTTTGCATATGTGATAGATTGACTGATTATCGTTTGCTGAAATATTTTGTCATAGTGCAATTTTGAATACATTGCATAGAGTATAACCGACACCATCACAACACTATCAGATGAATCCGTGGCTATATTCACTTTGCATTCATAGCAAGAGACGCACCCGGACTTGTCCCGTTTGAAGTTTATGCTATTCCCTCAGAATTTTCCTGTCCGATTTTTTTCATTGTGATCAAAATGAATTAACGACTTTTGACCATCGGTAAAGTACTATTGCCTCTTACTCTTTCTAAAGTTTGACTCTTCATGGGATCATCTATATTTGCTGTGAATAAAATTTGGCTTTTATTATCAAACAAGGGTTGTTTTTCCAAGAAGAATTTATGAGGAGGAAAGATTAAAAATGACACTCCGTAAATTTCATAGACACCATCACGTGTTGGTTGATCCATACGATGTGTCTTTGTCCAAACTAACTAAGGAAATTTTTACCACGTCTTAGATTGTGGTATGCCATTACGTCGTCTGATCTTTTAAGTACCGAACGTGACCTATTCCCGATTGTGACTGTTTTGCTGAGTGTGAATTCGCATTGCTATAAGACGTGTCACGGTATTTTTCTATCCAAAATTCATGTGTTTAGTTTCGATGTTATATTTGTTATTGTCAGATGTCTTATCGTTTGTAGTTGTAATTCTTACTTTTTTCTGTTCTATTCGTGAGTGAGGATAAAGATAATTTATCGCCCAGTTCATTTATAGATTTCAGTTTATGTCAACTAAACTTACACTTTGTATTTGGTTTTCAGTTTGAATTAGAAAAAATACCGACATAGCTAGATAATACAATTAATTATCTAATTACTAACACAATTTTATATTGATAAGTAGTGTTATTTTCATTGTAATTAAATACATGTAATATCAGTATTACAAACCTAATCTTGATTTCTATCCTATTTTTTGGAATTGTTTAGAAATTTATCTGTGACGTCACTTTTGTGCGTCGATCAATTCGGCTAACATACAATGCGTTATTCGGCTTTACTGTTTTTATGTGCTGATCTAGGTTGTTTTACGTATTTGTTTTTATTTAGTTAGTCACCATGTATATCTATTATATGGTCATTTTTATAAATTTACTGTTTGCAAAAATATGAATTATTTCAATACTAAGGATTTTCTTATCCCAGGTAGATAACCTTATCCATATTTGGCACAACTTTTTGGAATTTTGGGTCATCAATGCTCTTCATCTTTGTTTGGCTTTCTTTGCTATTTTGACCTGAGCGTCACTGGTGAGACTTGTGTAGACGAAACACGCGTCTGGCGTATTAAATTATAAGCCTCACCGCCCTGGTACCTTTAATAACTATTAGCTTGTCGTAATGTTCTATCGTATTGTTTATTTGTGTGTTTCTCTGTCCTGTATGTTCTTCCATTTATTTGTATTGTAGTCCTGTCATGTAATGTTGCCATTTTAGTGTTATATTTAACATTGCCATTAAAGCGGAAGGTTTGGCTAGCCACAAAACCAGGTTCAAACCACCATTTTTTCTTAAAATTTCCTGTACCAAGTCAGGAAAATGGCTATTGTTATCTTATAGTTCGTTTCTGTGTGTGTTGCATTTTAGTGTTTCTGTTGTGTCGTTTTTCTCCTCTTATAGTTGATGTGTTTCCCTCAGTCTTAGTTTGTAACCCGGATTTGTTTTTTCTCAATCGATTTATGAATTTCGAACAGCGGTATACTACTGTTGCCTTTATTTATCTTTGCATGAATTATCTCGTATTTCAAACTGTAAATAATGATTAAAGGAATGAATAATCAATGAACGAAGCCTTTGTTTTGATGGTTCGAATTTCTTAATATTAATACTAGTATGGTATAGTTATTTCTTTTATCGTGTATTTCTGCATTGAACACATTTTATCATCACGCTTTCATTGTGTATTTTCTCACAACAGCAATCGTAGATAAATTTCCAATAGTCACAGGCATTCTTCTGTAGTATCAATATGAGTGTTCTTATATAATCACACCAATTCAATACCTATCCCTTTTTATACACTCACTAACAAAATCCTCATCCTTTCCTTTCCATCATTTGACTATCGCGATAACTACTAGTATATCGTTAATGGAATGTATACATTTAACGCTTAATTATGAATATGAAAAATGTTTCCCAAATCCAAGCTAACGCCTATATTGGTTCCTAATGAATGCAAAGAAAGTTATTTTTTTTCCAATTGAGGTTAACTAAACATTCCCTCTGCTTTTATCTGCATATTCTTTTTTGAATTAAAAGAAACCAGGAATTTTTTATATCATATTTCTTTGAATGTTTCTTTTTACTATTTATCAGGAGTTGGTATGAACGGAGAATATTTAATCATTCACAATATTTCTCGCTACTGTGATGGCATCTATGAATGTGTGGCATTCAACGATGTGCCACCAGCAGTCAACAAAGACATTAAAGTGGAAGTCGAATGTAAGTTTAGTAGTTGGAGAACTAGTTATATCAACTCATTTCAAATCAAGTCTTCAACAAAAGATAGTTAATAAAGAAGATGACTGTGTTGTCAATTTTACAATTGGGAAGTCGCAATGAACTTTTCTTGGTATAATTCGAACAAATATTCCATTTACAGTCAGACTCTTGAAACATATATTTTTTCGGGTTTTTTAACCTAGCTTATGATAAATGTTAAATGAAATTTCGTTTATTACTATTTTGTCATTCTTTCAAGCAAACAAAATCACGTATTGAGAACAAATATAATATAATATCCTTTCTTGATAGACAAATGTGAATCGAAAGTATTCGGTGATATATGGGAACTTGTCGTACGTTTATATGAATATTGCCAAAAGACATTATTGACAAAAAAAAGATATACAATTGTAAAGATTGAACAACAACAGTGTAACAATATCTTTATTAATGCCTTGCTAGAAAGGCCTGATGCTTTACCTGTTTTAACAATAGTACCATACAATGGGTGTGGAATTCCGATTGTTTAATTTCCTGTTTAAGTGCATTGAATCGTACTATTGTAATAACTGTGTTATTTCATTTTACAATTTTAGAACTTTCGACCAATTTGTGATATAGAAATATATCATTAAATTGTTTTCAGTAAAACAAACGTTCGCGCCTTTACAAATGTGCGAATGTGTAACCAACGATTAAAGATAAAAGAGAGAATATACCGATGACGCAATCAAATATCACAAGTCGAATAAAAAAAAAACGACAATCAAAAAAGGTACTTTCATTTTTATTTAAAACCTTAGATAACATTGTGATATTCTCTTAGAATTGCATTAGCAAAGGACTTTTTTTTACTAAGCAGCTGTGAGTTTTGGTCTATGTTTGTTGCATAGTTTTGAAAATTGAAAAAAAAACTCTTTATAACGATTGAAATTTAACTGAGGAAACTATTAGGTATCAAAAAGGTTTCATAGATGTGTTACAGAGAACTGCAATACACAATTGATTATATATAACAATGAACTAAACACATTTTTTTTTATTTTGTCCTGATGATACTTTTTTGTAGGATAATCACAAACCGTATGTTCATTTGACCAGAATGTAATTTTCTTGCCCTTTCCTGTAATGAGACAATTTAGCAGACATCCAGTTGCTTGTAATTTCTCTTTTTAATCTATTTATAATTAAATTTAGGACTATTCCGGCTGATTTGAACAGCATAAGCAATATTGGATTTTCCCTTTCTGATATGATAATTCACACAAGAGATAATCAAGTTCGACACATCTTAAGGCCCAAATGAGTTCAGTGTCGGATCAGAATAACACTTTTAGAGTTTTATCTTTCCAAGTGAAAGATAGATATTTTGCCAAATAATACATCACACTTGTGATTAATTTCGTAAAGAATAAAATTTACATCTCCTAAGACGAAAACACATTTTCTTCTAATATACTCGAGGAACGTAATCTTATTAGGTAAAAAGCCTTCGATTACGACTTCAATACAATGTATACTTAAGCCATACTAACGATTTGGTGCATCATGAGACAGAGTGTGTAATAAACTGCAATTTGATCTTTCTAGGGATTTACAAAAATTCTGCGTGTTTAGAGTGGTGTTAAATCTCTCTTAAACTACAATGTTCATTAATAAAATGTTGTCATGTTTTTTTACCTAGTTTGACAACACCACATATTTATTGTCATTTCATCTGTTTAATAATACCTTTTTTTGGTATTTCTTACTTTGGAGATTTCATTTGCATCACAAGAAAATACAGTTATTTCATGATTCTGTAAATATTTCACTAGCTGTGTTCAATAGTAAATATCAGGTCTGCTTCTCTCTATCCATATTTATCTTTTATTATTTTCTTTACAAAAGCTATGGTTTTAACTTTTTTATAGGCAAAATTGATTGTGTATGTCTTTGAAATTATGTTCTCTCGTAACATTAGTTAAGTGTTTATGATAACTTTCAAAACTGAAATTAATTTGATGTATTTGACGTCTTTGTACATTTGTATCATTATCTACAATGAGAGCTGTCCCTTTGACACACAAATGACATATATGTTGAGTTGATATAGTTTTACTGTATAAATCAAGTTAAAAAACGTAAGTTAAGCAACTTGGCATTAGAGTAGTATCACCAGTGTAAAATAGCATGTAATAAGCAAAGCGGTAGATAAGTCATTATCTTTCAATTTTGGAAGCTTGAATTACCTTTGTGAACTAAATGAACTAGAGTTTTTCCTTACAGGTCGTAATGCTACTGAACATGTTTAAGAATGCAATTTTTAGAAAATGGCATGCTTGTTACGAGCAATTTTGGCTTTTAAACACACATATAACAAACTTGGTAGATTTCATTTATTTTATCAAGCAAATTTAACTTGAAAAATGCAGGTATACGCGTAAGAAAAAAAAAGAAGGATAAATTCAAACAGTGGGAGTCCATAAATAAAGGCAACAGTAGTATACCGCTGTTCGATAGCCATAAATCGATTTAACTGAAACAAATCCGGATTATTTCATAGCTGATATTTCATAGTTGCTATTTCATAACTTTAATAAACGACTTCGATTGCTTCTTTTTGATCTCTTCAGTTCCTCCAGAAATAGAACTTCAAAACCGAAGAATAGGACAATCTCCTGGAAGGGAGACAATTTTAGAGTGTCAAATAACAGCTTTTCCAAACAACTACAATGTGTGGCGATTTAAAGGGCAGGATTTGAAAACAACCAAGAAACATCGAATAGAAATATATAACGATGGAAACCACAGAATGACGCTTAGCTTACGTGTTATGGATATAACATTTGCAGATTACGGAAACTATACCTGTGTAGCCCAAAATAAGCTTGGTACAGATGAAGAAGTTATGCTTTTATATGGTAAGAACACGAAATTTCATAAAGTCGGTGTATCCAGTAAAATGATTTTTTCCCAAAAAAAACTCATTAATACGGACTGATGCGGTCCGTTTTTAATGTATTTTGTTCTACTTCAAATATCAAAATCGAAGTTTTTTTGTATTTTCATTGAAGTCGTAAATATATATAATGACTTTGCAATGTTTTATTTTTCTAGTTGTACTAAGTAATTTAGAGTTAATAATGTAAAGACAAATTCTCAATTATTTTTCCTTCAGTTGGAATATGACACGTTGTATCAGTACCCGTTGGTCGTAACTCGTACAAAGAAAAGCACTGAAACCATCAAAATTTCCTAGAATTTTCTATATATTTGTCAACTTCGAATATTTCCTTTATTTACTATAAAGTGACATATCAAAGATTTCACTGAGGTAATTATAGTTGATTCAACTTAAAGTAATCATCAGTGGCAGTGCCTTAGATCAAATAAACATCCGAAACTATGTGTAATGGGATCAACATAGTTTGTATATCGCAACATACACGTGTATACCTTATTTTGTACAAATTACAATTTGCATGGTCTCTTATTTTTTTGTACAAGTTTTCGTTCTTTGACACCTGCCTGCCTTCACTAAGTGACGTAAGTTATATCTTAAACAATTTACCTGTTAGATTTTAATCGCAAATTTACATACTTAATCTATTATTAAACACTGTCCTATTTGGCTTAAAGCTTCAAATGATGACAAAAGATTAAGTTAGATTCTATTTAAAATAGAATAGCAAATTCAAAATCCCCAATCATATTTCATTATTTTCTTACACAAATGGCATCAAGTCTTATATATAATGCTGTAGGTAGCATGTAGTCATGTAACTATATGGCAGTGATAAGCTGAGGAAAACACGATGTGTTTGTTTTATCCAATTATATTGAGAGCTTTAAGTAATACTGATAACTTATACTTTAGTTATACTTTAGTTCTATACAAATAAGATTTTGTACAAAAATACAACTTTTACACAACATAATGTATACTAAAGAACACATCTTTTCTCACTACTGAATAATTTGAAGAAAAAAAAATTGGTGGAATTATTTTCTCAAAATGTTTTTTTTTGGAAGAAGGCATCGAAAAAATTTCAAACAATCGTCCATGAGCTAGCAATGTTAAGTCTAATAAAAATGCCGAAAGTTTTACCAAATAGAGCTGAGGTATTCAATTCCTTCGTATTTTATCAGTAGTTGTAAGCAAACCACCATGACGTTGCTATTGCACTAAGTCGGTGATGAATTTTGTTATTGAATTTTATGCTTTACTCAAAAATAGTATTTTGAAGGAAGCAAGCTCTTTGAAAAAAATGTTATCAACATTTCTGTTTCAGATAATACTTCAGGTAAAATCTTGTAGCAAGTAATAGTTTCGCACCAATGTAAAAGTCATACATGAAATGATGTAACAAACATAAAACTTATATTACCTTTTACTTCATATGTCTCTCTTGAGTAGACGATACGTATCACCCATTATATCATTTTAATGCAAGTTGGGTTTTTAAAATGCATGACAGTATAAAACCTTATTATAAAAAAAACCAAAGTTTTGTTTGACGATTGATCAAGCTATGATTCTACCACCTATTTTTCCTTATTCCTTTTTTGCAAGTCTAGTGGAAATATCATGAATAATCTCTTCTAGTCATTCTAACATTTTACCCCATAAAAGAATATTTCATTCCAACCATCTGAAAACATGCAAGTCTCATTCAATAAGCATATATGTTTTAAGTTTGTTCATGTGCAAAGTAAAAATTATTTCCAAAACAGAGAATAGACTAAGATTGAAATCTCCCACCTTCTCTTAAGTTTTCCTTTTAACATCTCTTTTTTTTTCGTTGATCCTATAAGTCTTTAATGTACATGCATCTTTATAAATTTGACCCCATTTGTTTAATTATGCATTACATTAGTGTTATATCGGTAGAATGGTAATGGCAATGGTTGAAGAAGCCCTAACTTCACTTTTTTTATGTCAAGGTGTAAATATAAATATTTCAGATAACTTGTCAAACTCGCTACCGCAAAAGAAAAACTAAAATCATGATTATTAGAAAAACAAAGGATGAGCACGTTAGTTGGTAAACGTCGATGCAGGGCGATAGTTTATCAGATAAACATGAATGGTAATTTTTCGAGTGAGTTAACTGCTGTTACCTTTAGAGGAGTGCATTAATTGAACGATTTTTTAGTAATTGCACTTTCCAATCCTGCCGTTGACCTTATCATAGGAAATCCAAAGAATGGGAGGAGCATAGATCAGTGCTCTAACTTATATCCCAGTAGTTGTTATTGCACAGTCTGGCTCCGCCTCCTTGGCCTAGTAAACAATGAAATCCATGACTATAAATCACTTTCCCAATAAATTTAAATAAAATGCATACACAATAATTTATCAAAATATAAATTTGAGAAAGGGGGCCTTACCTTAACACAAGTCAAACTTGTAAACCTAACCCTTAATTAAAAATGGTTCCAGGTGAGGAATACACTTCAATAACACATAAATCGCACTCTGCTCTTGAACCCTTGATGGAAATATCACGGCAACCATTCATTTACATGTACATGTATCACAAAATCAAATCCTACTACAAAATGTAATCCATGATTTAATTTTCAGAAAATAAGAGACGTTTTTTGTCATAGAAAGCGCCACTATTTGATAGACATAATTAATTCATAAAGAGTGCAATTATTAAGTTGAACCTTTGACATGTGTCATCGCCCATTAATGTTACAAATAATATATAGCCACGCATTACTAATTAACATGTCTTATCCACTCAGAGCTACGCTTTTCGTGAATTAAATACGTCAATTCGTAAAAGGCTTGCTATATATTCAACTTATTCATGAAGAACTTTAGATTTCATCCACCATCAACACTAATCGTTATTTAATCTAACTGTAATATGTAAAATTAATTGAAAAATAGTTATATGAATTTAAATTACTCAGTGCATTTCTTTTGTTATTCGGGGGATTTTAAATCAGTTTATTCTCTGGACTGTCTTTTAGACAATTTATCTTCCAAATATAATTCAATCAACATCTTTATTTATTTTACTTTATGAAATTTTATCAGTTTTATAATGAAAAGATGTCCACATTTCATGTAGAAAATTATTTCCGGGCCGAGGGTCGAATGCATTGCGTTGTCTTGTATTGTTTTGAAAAAAAGTATACGTTTTATACATTACACCACAGACGAGAATTTTCTTTTAGATATGTAAGTTGAGATTTATTAACTATTTTATTAACTAGTAGAAGGTGCTTATGTTTCTACTATTTATTGAGTAAAAAATCGTTATATATAGCTTGAATTAAGTTTTTTTAAGGAAAGTAAATGAAAAGAAGTAATACCACTTTAATTAATTAACTTTACAAGGGTTTTTAGTCATAGTTCTGCTGTAATGCCGAAATGAGAAAGGGAATAGAAAAAATTACTGTATTTAAGATTTTGTTAAAACCAAAAAGAAAAAAAAATATGAACTTCATTATTAACTTTTCTGATAACTTTTGCATTTAAAAAATATCTAAGAAAACTCGTAACTAACAATGAAGTGTGTCGTGAAATTTTGAGAAGGCCGTGAAATTATGCATAAATCGTTACTTTAAAGTTTCATGATTTCTATTTTAAAATACAGATCACAGAATCCATCATATTCCAACAACAACGACAACCAGGAAACCACTAATGATAACAACACTCCCTAAAACAATATGGTTACCAGAACCACAGGATAAACATGTGGACACACATATTGATGGTAATAATCCCCAAACAGAACCCCAACAAAATGGAGGAATAACATGCACCGGCAATCTTGTAGTTATTTGTACGTCCAATAGGAGTATGCCCCTAAAACCGCGTTTTAGAATGCATGAAAAAAAACTTATATCTGTAAATTAATACCCTCAAACTTTTTAGCACGAAACTTCATGAAATCATTATCTCTGAGGCATGTTGCAAGTACTTTGTGTATATCACTTTATATAGTTTCTGCTGAGAATGTCTTGTTTTCCTATACTTTTGCATGTGTTCTCGAAATAATCGTGCAAATGTTAAGATCAAAATACATATCAGCACTAAAACGATTATACATACATAAAATACGGAATGGTCGAAGTTTGGTCATGTTGTAGATTATTGTCTTATTGAAATAATCCCCACCAACTTCCATTCCATGTCTTTCGTGTATATACCATTATGGGGTTGAAACAAATTAAAACAGATAAAAATTAATCGTATGTGTTGCTGAAAAGAATTGCAACGCATCGAGTGGGGAGGATTTTTGGTTCAATACACGACCACAACAAACTAATAACTTTAAAAAGGGTGGTTGCTGCTTCTTAGCTTCCAAAGCACGCAACATTTAAAAGAAAGAGCAGCGATTGGTTGACTCGGAGTCAGAATAATGTTTCTGAAGATTGTTACTTTGTTAGTTTGATAATACAAATCGGGGTGTATTCATATCTCATTCGCGCGTTGTCGTTCTGAATATGCATGTACTATTTGCCACATGTTTAACCATTTATCAAACCGAAAAGTAAATTGTAAGTTATTAAGTTGATTTCATACTCGGTCTAAGTGACCATCCGATTCGTATTGATGCATAGAAAAATACTTTGATTTAACTCTCGATCATATATGACGAGAAAATGCTGTTGCTAATCATTACAAATGAGAGAAGGGGTGTATATGGGGGAAAAGGCACTCTGATTTCCTTGTGACTACACTTGTTACTTCTGTTAGTACTAGTATATGCAGTATCCTCTAATGTTATATAAATTACACTATTCATTTATCTATTTCAATATTTATCTGGACAAATATACACTCGTATAACTTTTTGCATGGACTTACTAATTTTTATTCTATAGCAAAATCACATAATCATTTATACATTTATATCTGCATTGAAATGTTTGATATTGCTATACATGCAACAGCGTTAACTTCTAAAGCCACTGAAACAGAACCCTTCAAACATATATATTACAAAACGAGATCACTTAATATTTTCTCAAATCTATCAAATAGACAAACCTTTGATATGCTCTTTTTTAAGTACATTTACATCTTTTCTAGATTTGGAGCATTTAGAGCTCGGCATATCGCGAAAAAATCTTTGGGTTGCTGTCTCATTGGTGTACACTCATCGAAATCCTTTTATCCATAGAATAAAAGATACCAAGGTGATATTCAACAACGAAAAGTCGAAGAAAAGAAATAGACAACACAATGATCAAACATAAAAACGTCAAAAAAAACAAACAACGGCTCATAAAACACTAGAAAACTAAAGATTGAACAACACGAACCCGAACCAAAAATAGGGGTGAACTCAGGTGCTCCGGAAGCTAGGGTAAGCAGTTCCTGCTTCCCTATCCTAGACATCACTATTATATGATAACTATATACATATTCAATTTTGAAATTTCTAGATAACGGTGGCTAACGTTATGGTTTTTTAATGCTATCAGATCAGTTATAGTATTGATCCCTGAAAATTTCATATTATTAAAATTAAATATTATTTAATATTTCAAAAAATAAAAAAGCGATTTTAAAATATTTAATCCTTTGCTTACAGCTGGTTTCCTTTTTGTCATATTTGGCCCATGAATGGAGATGATTTTTGGCAAAGAATATCCTCTAATGAAGGAAACTATTGCTATGTTCTTCTCTCTATTTTTCAGGCAACGGAATAGGAAAAATGCCTCAGAAGGGTAATACTGCATCGTGTAGGAACAATATTTCTTTGATTTTTGTTTTGTTTAAACTATTACTTGTATTTATAGTAAGCTGACGAAATGGTGGTTTTCTTTGCGCTGAACATCAAAATGGGAGACTCGAAAGTAAATTAAAATCAAATAAATACCCATATACAAATATATATGTTCGAGTTTCAGAAAAATTAGGCAAAAGAAGAATTGTACAGGAAGACCAATAATAAGAGATAATAGTTCGCTTTAAACTACTTCCAGAATTGAACGCAAACACTTATAAAAACAGAAGATACATTAGTTTTGTTTATTCTAGTAGATATTTAATTGTGTCACTAAATGAATAAGGAGATACTGGTATTATTCGTAGGATTAATGGGTGAAATATAAATTTTCTAAGAAAATTCTTGATTTTTTTTCTACCATTAATTCATACATGCTGTTTCTCGTCTACAATCGTCATGTATATTTGTAATTAATAAATACCACATGACAACATCAAAGATGGCGTCCTATCATATGTTTTTAAATGACCTTTAAAAAAAAGTATAAACAGTGTATGTTTTCAAAGCTGTGAAATGTGAGATTGGATTGTTGTTTTTATGTTAAGTTATTTTGTATATCTCGTTCTTTCTTAGTTTCTTTCTTTCTTTCTTTCTAATCAAAAGTTTCTTTTTTTTCTTTTTTGTGAAATAATACGTAAGATTGGTACCGTTAATGTTATCATAAGTATCAAAACTGCTCTTTATCTATTCCCCATACATTTGATTTCTTTCCCAATTTCAATAATGTCAATATAATTATACTTTTTGTATAGAATCATCCTTTGTTTTGTACAACCTGCAGCTTCTCCTATTCCCCGGTCTCGTAAGTTCTCGTAGCTAGAATTTTGACGCCACGTTGCTAAAAGTGACTGTAAAAGCAATATGACTAATGTTTCAGTTTAAAATGAGGATAAAAAATATTTCTATTATGTATATACAAGAGCAAATCCTGTGGTTATTGTTTTAATTGATTAATCTATCTGTTATTTTTATGTAATGTACGTACATTTTATAATATATTTACTCTTAATAATAATCTCTTTATATTATATCTTGAGATTGTCAGAGAGAGAGAGAGAGAGAGAGAGAGAGAGAGAGAGAGAGAGAGAGAGAGAGAGAGAGCGAAGTAAAAGAATGCACCAACATAGCGTAACGCAACTAGATAACTCAAATTCAAACAAAATTTTAAGAAGGAGGGAAACATAATATTTGTAACCACGTGGTTGCGTTAACCCTTGGAAAGTATTGCCCTTGGTGGAATATGTTATTGCGTAAGCTTACCGTATCTAAGAGGAACAACAATGGCCAATATTCACTATGTTTATATAAAAAACAAGGAGATGTGGTATGAATTTCAACGTGATAACTATCCACCAGAGTTCAAAATGAAGTGGATATAAGCAATTATAGGCAACATGCAGTACGGCCTTCAACAATGAGAAACACCCGACATGAAAAATGTGAAAAAAAATCAAACGAGACAGTTAACGGCTTGATTTATAACAGAACAATACCTTCTCATAGCATCGTCAATTTCCAGAACAAGTTAACATGATATATATGCACTAAATACCTCTTTACTTGCGACAAACTTCGATATTTGTTCTCCATTGGATAGCCGACTAGACAATGCTCTACTATTTATATATTTGTTAGTCTTTTATTCAGTCCAACAATGCTAGAATTGCATATTACACTTGCAAAATAAATAACAGCAGTTTTCTATCAACCAAAATTATATTAAACTGTGTCGGTGCTCAGTGGTTTTTATTTTTTTTTATTATTGTAAGATTGTATGTTCCTAAATCTGTAGGTTTAATTTCTAATTTTCATTTTTTTCTTGAAAACATTTACATATGTAGCACGTGATTTCAATAAAGTTGGCATTCACATGCATGTAGATAGTTGTATTATTATCAGTATTGAGGACAAATGAATGCAAGTTGTAAATGATAGTGACTGGTTCAATTGTAATGTTTAAATGTATATATCCATTGGATGCCAAATACGTTGTTAACATACCATATTTTTTCTGTTCAATACTGGTTTTAAATAGAATATTGTTGAATGTAGAGATATTTACGTAGTTTACATTTTCTAGTGTGTATATACGAAAGGAACCGACAAAGATTCTTTTCGTTCTGAAAGATTCCATTTATTTGTAATTTGTTGCTTACGTATGACATTTTTAGTTTGATGAAACAAGTTTCGGAAATAATTAATAATTCAAAGTAAGTCACACATTCTAACGTGAGATATATTACAGATACCTTTAAAAAACTAACAGAACCTGTTTGACAATATTATTTGACCATATAGATCGACACAGTTCCACTGGCATAATGACCATATGTTAGGATATGGTTTCTAATTAGTAATCATTTGCATTGGGAGAAACTGAAGGGCCTGTGATGAAGTCTCTATTTTCCGTAGACGGATTATCGACACGCATTATCACATACCTTGTTTCCGTAGACGGATTATCGACACACATTATCACATACCTTTTTTCAAATAATTAGACGGGCTCCCATTCATATTTATATACTCAGGCTGAACAGATCTATATAAACTAATGATTTATGCCACTTCAACCATACTGTAGTATTATCGAACTTCTTCAGCTTGTACTACAATAACCAACATCACATTGAATCATTTTTGGTAATTTCCAATAGCTTTTAGTGAGCTAATGGTCCATCCTATCATATGTGTAGTGATATTTGAGTTACAACTGTAAGATTTATAAACGAGCTTTACCTTGTACTATATTTGCTTTAAAGATGAACAAAATCATGGCGACATTATTATGCCAGTTACTTATCATTATTAAGACATTTGAAAAAAAGCTTGGTTCTTTTTTTTTTATTTTCAAGGTTGCCTATGATATTACTAGTCACTGTTTAGTAGCGATCTTCATACTATGTGTACATTCCTTTTATACAGACCGTTAGCTGTATGGATTTGTGGTTTGCAAATAAAATTATTTTATACTAATAGCTTTATTGTTATTTAAATATAAAAAGAAGATGTGGTATGATTGCCAATGAGACAACTCTCCACAATAGACCAAATGACACAGAAATTAACAACTTACGCTCATTTTGACACATCCAATGTTTTATAACCTGAATGGATGGACCACTCACTTCCTACCTAATGAAAAACGCGGAAGGCACACGCGCCTTGTTTAGGGATAACATTCATTTCAGAAATTGGTAATTCGTCGTTTTTAACACGATTAACATGGCGGGTGCTACTGCAATTTTTAGAAACATCTTTTGCCAACTATATGTAGAATATATATAGGATTTCAACGGAAATTAATGTTGAGGTATAATATACTATTCAAACCTGTTTCTCGGTGTCAAGAACTATCTGTTCGTAGCCATTTTATGAAAATTTGCTTTAAAAACTTGTATCAAATAATCACAAATATTAAGAAATATTTTCTTCAGGTAGGATTTCAACGAAAATTTGCGTATGCTTATAATATGGTTTTCCAGATGGATTCCCGGTGTCTAAAATTTTCTGTCGATCGTTATTTTCGCTAGATATATTTATACAAATTCATGGTGCTCGGATTTTAACCAAACTTGCTATCTACCTAGAACATAAAATTGAGAATGGAAATGGGGAATGTGTCAAAGAGACAACAACCCGACCATAGAGCAGACAACAGCCGAAGGCCACCAATGGGTCTTCAATGCAGCGAGAAACTCCCGCACCCGGAGGCGTCCTTCAGCTGGCCCCTAAACAAATATGTATACTAGTTCAGTGATAATGGACGTCATACTAAACTCCAAAATTATACACAAGAAACTAAAATTAAAAATGATACAAGACTAACAAAGGCCAGAGGCTCCTGACTTGGGACAGGCGCAAAAATGCGGCGGGGTTAAACATGTTTTTTGAGATCTCAACCCTCCCCCTATACCTCTAGCCAATGTAGAAAAAACAAACGTACAACAGTACGCACAGTAAAACTCAGTTTAAGAGAAGTCCGAGTCCGATGTCAGAATAGGAAACAAAAGAAAATAAACAAAATGACAATAATACATAAATAACAACAGACTACTAGCAGTTACTGACATGCCAGCTCCAGACCTCAATTAAACTGATTGAAAGATTATGTCTTCATCATATGAATATCAGGCACAATCCCTCCTGTTAGGGGTTTAGTATTATACCGTCATAAAATATATGAGAAGAACATAACCCGTGTCATGCCAACAACTGGTTTTAGAATAAATATGTTTAATTCCGATGCAAAGACCATATAAGTGAATCAATATTAAAGCCAAAATATGCAATTTTTAATGACCTGACAACAGTATCGTAACTATATCCCTTCTTAATAAGTCTGTTTAAAGGTTTTGTTAGCTTTTGAGGTGAATACTGACATTTTTGTGCTTTGTAAAGAATATTAACATAAAAGATTGGATGTGAAATACCCGAACGTATAAGATGTCTGCATGTTGAGTTATATTTACGAATGATGTCCTTATACCGATGATAAAATTTAGTAAATGTTTTGACTAGTTTATGATATCGAAAACCCTGGTGTAATAATTTTTCAGTAATATATAAATTTCTCTCGCTAAAATTTAATACGTTGTTACATACACGAGCGAATCGTACAAGTTGAGATATAGAAACACCATAAGACGGTGACAAGGGAACAGTCTATCTTAAATTTAATTCCTTGTGTCAAAATTTATCAGTGAATGCCAAAATACGTATATATTTAAAGTGCTCAGATTTAAACGAACTTTCTTGGTTTAGGTAGAATATGATATCATGAGAATTGATAACTGGTTTAAAAAATAGTCCTAGGCTCCCATTTCAAAAAAATCAGTTGTTAACCATTTTCAATATGGCCGTTCGGAATTTTGAGAATTAATATTACATATTTACCCTAACATACCTGATATTTCTTGAACTACGGTGCCATTTTGAACCTTTTTTTTCTATTTAAAACTGATCTTATATCAACTATGCACTATAACTCAGCTATACCAATCGTTTTGCTATTTAGCAGATTTGCTACATGAATTTTTACATCAGTATTATTTGTTTATGTTACTTATACAAGTATGTGCAAGCCGGGCCCTTGTTGACATATCAGATTTCTAGTGTTCATCTAGCTTTATTATCCCCTTGGACACGATCTTGACTTTTGACACTTTCTGCCGCGACTTATGAATATTTTGACATGTGGTGCATAGCAGACTATCGCCATTATGCTTACCTTTTCGAAGCTTTTGTCTCAGCTCCGTTTGGAGTTCTACGATTTTCAAATTGATTGTGTTTAATCACATTATTTGTCTGTTTTATACCTATATTTTTTTTTTAGATTAACTGAATATCGGTATATCATATTCATATTGTACGACTCACAACGACTTTACTTTTGAAGAATTGAATGCTTTTTTTCGTAATTTTAATGGGGTGTAAAAGCGTTGACCGAAGAACATTTTGTATGACGCGGGTGAAACTCATTTAAGATCCATCTATCTGATTAATTCGACAATTTATTGTTCATAGTTTGCGTTAAAAAATCCAGAATTATCTAAATATACTACCGAAAACCGTATACAAATATAAGACAAAAGGCACGATTTTTCGTTCCCTTTCGTTAATTTTCCCAGTTTTATGGACGGCGATCATCCGGTGTCCCTTCTTACAGTAGTTATTTATCCCAACTCGTTCGATATGCCCGTTTCTATAGTGACGTTTTAGATTTCAATGAACGTTATTCCATGTTTAACCCTCCACATTCTGAATGTAAAAATAAGAAGAGGTGGTATGATTGCCAATGAGACAACTCTCCACAAGAGTCCAAATGACACAGAAATTAATATCTATAGGTCACCGTACGGCCTTCAACAATGAATTAAACCCATACCGCTTAGTCAGCTATACAAGGCCCCGAAATGACAAATGTAAAACAATTCAAACGAGAAAACTAACGGTCTAATTTATGTAAAAAATATTGTCTTTTATTCGGTGGTTGTCGTTAGTCGTGGTCTATCATATTTGTTTTTCCTTTATTGTTTTGTACATAAATCAGGCCGTAAGTTTTCTCGTTTGAAAACATTTACAGCTTGTCGTGCTTTTTATAGCTTACTCTACGGTTTGGGTTTTGCTCATTGTTGAAGGCCGAACGATGACCAAGTGTTTCTTATATCTATAGTTCATACTGTAAAATATACAAGATAAAAACAGATGTGGTGTGATTGCCAATGAAATAACTCTCCACCAGAGACCAAATGACGTAGAAATTAGCAACTGTAGTTCATCGTACGGCCTTCAGCATTGAGAAAAACCAATACCGCATAGCACGCTATAAAAGGCCCCGAAATAACAAATTTAAAACAATTCAAACGAGAAAACTAGTAGAATAATGCATGTACAAAACCATAACCGAGTATTATATACAGCACGTCCACGTCCACTCTGTGTTTTGTTATATGTATTTCTGTTTGTATCCATCTGATGAGTTAATAGATATAAGAAGATGTGGTATGAGTGCCAATGAGACAACTCTCCATCCAAGTAAAAATTTATAAAAGTAAACCATTATAGGTCACAGTACGGTCTTCAACACGGAGCCTTGGCTCACACCGAACAGTAAGCTATAAAGGGCCCCAAAAAATTACTAGTGTAAAACCATTCAAACGGGAAAACCAACGGTCTAATCTATATAAAAAACGAGAAACGAGAAACACTTATGAACCACATCAACAAACGACAACTACTGAACATCAGATTCCTGACTTAGGACAGGTGCAAACAAATGCAGCGGGTTTAAACGTTTTAATGGTACCAAACCTTCACCCTTTTTCTGAAACAATAGTGTAACATCACAACATAGAAAGACACACTATAAAATATCAACTGAAATAGCTTAACTCAATCAAAGGACATATTAACACCATTGAACATACACTGAACAAATAAATATGACCTAAGCCGTTTTCAACTGATTTTTATAGTTTGTTCTTATATTGTACAGTTACACCACTGTCCCAGGTAACATATTTAACCCCGTCACATTCTGTATGTATCTGTTCCAAGTCAGGGGCCTGTAATTCAGTGGTTGTCGTTTGTTTCTGTGTATCATATTGGTTTTTCGTTCATTATTTTGTACATAATTTAGGCCGTTAGTTTTCTCGTTTGAATTGTTTTATATTTGTCATTTCGGGGCATTTTATAGCTGACAATGCGGTGTGGGTTTGCTCATTGTTGAAGGCCTTACGGTGACCTATAGTTGTTAATTTCTGAGTCATTTGGTCTCTAGTTGAGAGTTGTCTCGTTGGCAATTATACCACATCTTCTTATTTTTATATTAACTAATTAGATCGAAACAAAGAACAGATTTGATAGTACTCGCAGATACTGAAATCTAGTTCAAAGCCATTTACCACTGGGTCAATATGCGCAATTCGTTTCAGGTAGACGATAAAGGTAGTTTTCCGTAATGCCTCTGTCCATATTGTAAACTTGGATATGTATGATGGCTCGTTTCGAAGCTGAGACATGTTCACATATGTGATTAACTTTTCGGGGTATGCTGTGAGATTTCTTTTATCCGTAATTCAGGATACCCCGAAAAACCTTTGTTTCTCGAAGTAAAAAATCCCCTTTTTCGCACAGTAAGTTCTTTGAAAATTTAGTTCTTTGCATAAATTAAATAACTCCACTGTTTTTACATCTTCATTCTATGGTCCACTGCTCTTCAAATCATCACAAATGGTTATGATCAGTCAGTTGTTAAAAATTGAAACATGTCTAATATCACTGCACAGAGATTTTTTGCTTACGTAATATATCTGAGTACCTCGATTTGAGCCGCATTGTTTCTCAATTTGACGTGCATTAGGGATAGTGATCCAACTGATAAAAACAATCATGTATCTAAAACTAAAATATCAATTAGAACACATTAGCATCCAATGGATTAAGTGTAAATATCAGAGAAAACATGATCTTGTGCAATGCCATTATATAGGTCTCGACAGAACGTAGGACAATGAAAGGTTTATCCTTTGTCTTTCTATTCTATTAAAGCAACACTATTTAGTTGGGTTTTAATTTATTGATAACAAACTAATATTTATACCGACAAAAACAATATTCAAAGATATAAATACGGTGCCGGATAAATTGGTAACCTTTTAGAATAAGTTTATTTGAAGGATCGATAAGTTTACTCAGATCGTATATAAATTCAGTCTCGATAAACATCCCCGTAAAAAGTAGATTGTACTGTCCCGTTTTTAACAAGTTTTCCACAGGTACAGCCAATCTTCCGAACCAAATCTATTGGTAAATGATTTAGTAAAAGTTTGTGGTAACGAAGGTGTCCACATCCTAACGTAACCTTATTTGTGGCCCACCTTTTTCAAAATCCAATATCCGCATCTGGTATATATCGGCAAAGATCTTGAAGTTTAGTGTTTTTGTTATTCTTTATCCTTACCTATGTACCTAACTACACATAGCATCTAACATTTCTACATATAAAACGTTACCGAAGAAAAACTTATTTCTCTTTTTTTGGTCCTGAGAAGTTACTGCATTGCATTTTTTTGCAGTATTCAACATTTGACTATTTTTTAAGAATTTCACTTCACGAAAGTGGACATTAGAAATGACCAGGTTATACTGGTAAAATGAAAACGTATACACACACAAAGAAAAACAACCTTTAATCATTTTCAAATTATATCAACATATGAAAAACAATAGGTACAATGAAAATCAAAACAACTCCTGTTGTTTTCAAATTTATAATAAATGGAAAGAAAGAAAGCTTTCTACATTAATACAAAAAACTAGAAAAAAAAAAGTGAATTAAACGCTCCTGCTTTTACATATACATATCAACTAGCTTCTTGTAATGAGGCACCATTATAACTTTGGTACAAGAATAAACTTTGGACTAGTTTGCGTAATACGTTTTTTAATATAAACATAAAAGACCTAATACTGTAGTAAGATTCCAGTATAAACAAACGTTTGCGAAACTCTAGAGCGAAAAAATGCGAAATCTAGTGTTTCCAGTACCACTTCATCGTCTGTGTATAAATGAAATATATTGAGTATACCTAAAGGAGACAGCAATCCTAAAAAACATCAAGAGTTGAAATTTTACGGATTTTAATATATTTTTGTGCGGCAAGTATTTAAGATAAGGTACATGTATCATTTAAAAACTTATCATTATGAATGATTCATGCATAAGAGGTCAAGGTCCCGGATGGATCCTTCCAAATGAGCATGTTCACCTTGTTATTCCATATTTCAAATATAGTTGATATATTGCTTATAGTATCTGAGAAACGGATTTACCGTTGATCACTGATCCATGAAATATGATAAAAGTCAAGTGAACTCTGTCTAACAGACTTTTTCATATTGCAATGATTCTATATTCCAAATATAGTAGACTATCACTCATGGTAAATGAGATAATCATGCATTAAAATCTTCAGATTTTTTTAAGCAACCGCGGAACCATGACAAAGAGGCCAAGAACAACGGACAAGCGACAGACGGAATCTTGTAAAAAACAAGGCATCTATATACGAAATATGAATTATTCAGGTCTTCCACCTTCTGATATATATATAAACTCTTACACTATTTGTTTATGCAGTCGCCGCTACCGTTTTAACATCCCTATGTCTCATATTCGTCGCATTCGAGACAAAAGTGCGAGAAATTTACAATTTATTTTATTAGACTAATATTAGCAATAAAGCAATGAAACATTTCTCCGCCTTATTTCTGTCAAAAATTAATAAGAACACTTACAATACAAGCACGAATGGGGTATGAGTCAGACTTTTACCACAAACAATTAATTTTTTTTGCTATCCATAAACTAAGCGAACTAACTCTAACGTGATCTAAATTGTAGTTAAACGAAATCACAAACCAAATCCTTTTTTTAACTTTTACCTTTCATATGATACTCGATTTGAAATTTGTCTAGTTAAATGGTCAAACTTATTTAATTGCATTAATCCAAGTTCTTACATGTAAAAGTATCAGTATGTAATGACCAAAAAAATTAACCCGTAAGTCTGAACTACTGCTCTCTCTCTCTCTCTTTCTCACACACACACACACAAACACACTTTTATATGATTTTTCAGTTCAACCATCAGTAAGAGGTTAATTTACCTACTGAAAATACATGACTCGCTTACCCTCGACAAGTTGAAGCTTGGTAACAGATTCCGTGATATTGTAATATTTACTGACTACAGAGAATAATGTTACAAATGAACAGACGGACATATCATTCAGTGTAAGCCATATAAATACATCGAGGAAGGGGTACATTGCCTTTTTGTAAATTTGAGCAAAAATAATGACCAAAACCATACAGCGAGCAAATGTTAGAACCATCTAAGATCACTGAACTAGTTAAATACAGATAGTTCATATCTGAGAAATTAATCCTTATCTCAGCAATAATCAAAAATATATCTTCTTAATTCAACTATACACAAAGAATTCGAACTCCCATGTGTCTGGAGAATAAGTGTCTTTGAAGCAATCATCTAGTCCATTATCACGTATTCTATCTTGCATGAAGTTCAGCTTCTTGTCAACTGTTTCCAATCTGATGTCTGATAGTAGATTATTCTGTTTACCTCTCAACAAAAAAGGAAACGAACGCAAAAATGGCATTTGTTTTAACAAGTGAGGGTTATTAATGAAAAAGTTCGGAAGTCTTCCTGATTCAAGTGCACTCTTTAAATATAAATAAGCGTCTGAGATTCTGTCAGATATTACAGAGAAAGCCCATTGGTCCGGTGTTGATTCCAACAATAAGTAATACACAACAGTCTCAATCATATTAGTGTTCAACTCGCCACGATCCAATAAAGACTTTCTAGATAAAGCTGTAAACAGTACTTTGAGAACTTTAATGCAGGTTTTGTGACAACTGTGTATTCCTGCAGCTTTCATTTTTCTATTTATTTCATTCAAATATAATTCTTCAAAAGAACTAAGATCTAAACTCCAGATGACATCAGATCTACCTAATGGAACAGGAACTGGATCCTGTCCTCTAGCACCTTTACTTTTGAATTCTTGTTGCGTAGATGAGTATGCAGTTGCGAACAGGGGAACTGGTTGAAACCATCCATGTATTGGCAAAAAGATGGCGGGAATCAATTGTACTCGTATTTCTGAAAGCCCTAAGCCAATGACGCTTCTGGTGTCTATTGAAAGAACTATGTTAGCTAATGGAGAACGTTGTATTCGAAACGGCAGGCGGTCGATTAGTGACCTTGTTCCAGTATAGAGATTTTGCAATGCCCTATCAATCATCTCCTCAGCAATGAATGATACCGATTTTGCACAAAGGCACACATGATTTTTTTGCTTTATTTGTACAGTCTTTAAACATTTTGGTTCTGTGCAAATATTGTCGGGTTTTGCTCGAAGAATAATCTTTCCAGGAGGAATTTCGTCAGATTTCAGTTGGTCCAAAATTTCATAAACATAAAAGTCTTTTCCATGAAAGTTCATATGAAAGTCAAACTGACTGGCATGGGCAACTTTTAGTCCTTTGCGCATACTTCCGGTTAACTTGAAATTCTCAAATTGGACTCCGCCTACAGACGAATTTGCTTCTATTTCCTTAGATACAAGATACAGGCTATAATTTACAATAAGATTTGCAACCTGAAGCTGTTCCATTTTTATAGAACCTTGATTCAAAAAGAACTGAAGAAGTTTTCTTGTTGTCGATTCTCCAGAAATCGACATATTTAGATCAACATCAAAATCAACAGCAACATGATTATTCATTGCAATATTTTGAATCAGTTCTTCCCAAGCTCTCTTCTCTAAAGGGTCTATCGATTGGTCGTCTTGTTCTGGAAGGTGAGGTGAGCTGCCACGAGATCTATTCATTGACCTACGCAGTGGTCTTCTTGGTGTTGAATTCAAAGTGTTGTATGTTTGACCAAATCCAAGATCAGAAACAGAACGAGTAGGCGAACTCCTACCTGGACTTCGTCTATTATCCAATAACAGCTTATCCATCATAGAAAACAGGTAATCGGTAGTATGTTTAAGGAAAGTTAGAACAGGTACTTGTCTGGGTTTAGGATTAACGTGACTTGGGACTTTTGTAAAGACTTGATACTGCAATAATATTCTATCTTTTTTCACAGATATTTGAGATTTTACCCGTTCCAGTTCTTCAATGTGAGACTTTGAGTCCTCTGTGATATTGCTGTGGTCTAACGTATGTGTTGGCTTAAATGCTGCAATTTCATCGTCAGTATGTTCATCGTCATCTACTAACTCATTCTTTTTGTCTGTAGCACTTGTGCCAGCATGTCTTTCAAATTTTTCTCCTTGTTTTAGGCACCGTTTGACAATTCTAGAAACCACTAAACAAATTAAAAACGAAAAAATCAGTAGCAAAAGATAAACTACAAGGACGAATGGTCGAACCTTCCATTCATATTCCCATTCTACGGATTCTCCACACGGATCTATAATCTCTGGTTTAAGTTTGCCAATTGATGGTGTCGGTGGTAACGTAAAAAGCGAAAATCGTTTTGCAGAATCTTTGATAGTTGAAATTAGCCAAAATCCTGTGTCCCTCCAAGTTGTCGTATTATAAAAGATTGTTTCATTACTGATATTTGAGATGTTACAGTGTGGTATTTCATCTGTACACTTCCAATAGTGCACTTTGAAAAGAAATTTGTAGTACTCTGTTAAATTGAAGGCTGGAGTTAATGTCATCACCATGTACTTTGTTCTAAGTCTGAAAATATAATAAAATTTAGATTTAATATAAACTAGTTATTAGTTCTCTTGAAATTTTTAAAATGCGAACGCAAAAAAAAATACATGTGTCGATACTAATACCCCAACCAGCAGTAACTGAATGAGATGTGTAGGTACTACCCGGTATACTAATGCCCCCACCAGCAATAACTTAATGAGATGTGTCGGTACTATACTAATGCCCCCACTAGCAGTAACTTAATGAGATGCGTCGGTACTATAATAATGCCCCACCAGCAGTAATTGAATGAGATGTGTCGGTACTATACTAATGCCCCCCACCAGCAGTAATTGAATGAGATGTGTCGGTACTATACTCATGCCCCCACTAGCAGTAACTTAATGAGATGTGTCTGTACTAAACTAATGCCCCCACCAGCAGTAACTGAATGATATGTGTTGGTACTATACTAATGCCCCCCACCAGCAGTAACTGAATGAGATGTGTCGTTACTATACTAATGCCCCACCAACAGTAACTGATTGAGATGTGTCGTTACTATACTAATGCCCGACCAACAGTAACTGATTGAGATGTGTCGTTACTATACTAATGCCCCACCAACAGTAACTGATTGAGATGTGTCGGTACTATACTAATGCCCCCACCAGCAGCAACTGAATGAGATGTGTCGGTAATATACTAATGCCCCACCAGCAGTATCTTAATGAGATGTGTCTGTATTATAATAATAATATACGGGGTTGGGCATGACCCCAAACGAAACAATATATGGTGCACTGAAAGTTCTAATCATTGCAATTTAATGGTTTAGGGAGGGGATATGAACAATTTTTAGCTATTTAACAATTGATGATATGAAGGGCGCGGTAATTCGCTAAGAAACAAACCCTTTGGTCAAGATTTTGCATTGCGTAGGGGTGGAGATCTGAAACATCTTTTTAAATGTGTAGTGATTTATATGAGGTGACCGAAGGGTAAAACCCTAAGTTGTATTGAAACGGTCTTGCCATGACAAGTAAAATATATATGATTTTGGGGTGGACATAAACATTTATGACATTGAAGGTCAAAGGTCAAGATAAGAAATCATCTTCCAAGGTACGCGACACATCATCTAGAGATGTGGCACCCATGGGATGTGATAAATATCAAAAGTCTATACGTCAAAAGGATAAAACAGTTATACGTCTAGATCACATGAAGGTCATGATGATATACGACATACCATCTTGTGGTCATACACCTTTATGTTAAATAGCATTTAAAGCCAGTGTAATAAGATAAAACAGATGTGGCCCGGAAAGGGTTGTGAAGGAGAAAAACACTACTAAAACCTAATGTTTCTATTCGTCGAGTCACTATATAAAACACACAGCTGAGAGGGTGGTACAGCAGATTGTTACCCCGAGAAAAAAATGTCAACCGAGGAGAAGACTGAATGTTTTGTCATTATTATCTTTTAAAAAAGTAATAAACTTTCAAGACTTAATGTACTTAACATCGTTACAATATTTAGGAAAAAAACAAAAGTGAAGCTAAATGTAGTTGTTAATAACAATCTATGAAAAAAGGTCACTGAGAACTTTAGTATTGTCTTTAGAAATATAAAAATTGAAGTATTGAAATTCAATTCTAAAATATTGAATTTTGATCGAGCCATGGGATTGAGTTAATTGTCTTCTTATTATTAACCAATCAAAATCTGGAATTTTACGTGAAGTATAATAAAAAAGTTAAAACATGTTTATCTGTTTGAAGTCGGTATCTTTCGTTGAGACCTCTTATGTTTCACCTGCTTAAAATTTCTGAATCAATATTAATTCACAAAAATCCGTGGTCTATTAATTGCAGATTTTACCATGTACACCTTATTTTCGTAAAATTTCATACTGAGCGTAGGTACAAATAAAATAAAAACCTGGCCAAGTATTTTCGATTCTATACTGGCTAAATGTACAAAAAAAACCTTAATCGGATAACGTCATTTCCAACAAAATCGTTTTTGTGCATAAAACAAAGTGACGTCGTTGATTTCAGAGGTTCAGTAAATATACATGTATTAAAAAAAATCTCGGCGTTTCGTACCCTTTTTCCCGCACCGAATGATAAAATTATGTATTTCTGGTTGTTTGTGGGTTTTATAGCGACAAGTGTAAGTTATATGCTTATTTATTTAAATACATGTATATGTTGTGTACAAATTGTAATGTTGTACAAATTATAATTTGTACAGATGTTTTGTACAAGTTATCAGTGTTTTATGGAACCGCTTAACACAAATGGATAATGCAAGCACATAGTCTTTTGTTTCGCATATTTCTGTCATATTTCCATGATTGCATGATACACTCAGTCAGTCTAATACTGAGCATTGATACAAAAAACAATATAAGAACACAAAAAGACTTTTTATGGATATGATTTTGGTATAAAGAGAAAAATAACAATAGAATTTATACCATTCAGGTGTCCTTATTTCCAGTTTGAGGACAAGGAGAATAGCACTAAATGTTAGGTTGGAGCATATAAATTGAATTTAAGACATTAAACTGATACATTTTAGAAGATAAACTTTTATCACCTGGTGCAAAAAGGTATGTGTCAAATAACTTACAACTTGTACAAAAACCCTGCACAAATTATAATTTGTACAAACTTACATCTTGTACACAACATATATATGAATAAATCACTTAATTTAGTTGATGGATTTCTACTACTGGCGGGAGTTTAACGACCTTACCTACCCATGACGGTCTCGCATTGTTGATTGGATGGACTGGCAGGAAAAGCTGGTGATTCTGTTTCCAACAATCAGACCACGTTGAATAGGATAAAATTTGACGTAGCAATAAGTCATTAAGGTCACTACTTTGGAAGGTTCTAATGTACAGAGAAGGTGGCATTCATTGACATGCATTTTAGTGGCGGAAAAGTGGGAGGGGTAGAGATTAAAGGGCGTACGCTCCGTTCGGCAGTATTTAACGTACAAAATGAATATATTTCGCGTTTTAAGGAATTACACCCCTTTTAAAAATCCTGGATCCGCCCCTGAACTTTAACATCCCCATTCTGTCCTGACGTAGCTGTTTACGTATGCCTTCAACACTTTTATATAAATGAGGATTGCTATTGAATAAGTTAATATAGACGTAGCTGCATTTCTATCCCCTACTGTCCAGGGAATCCATTTCTTTTTAAACGTATCAGTTAGTGAAAAAGCGTGCGTCAAAAACAAAAGTAGCTATACCCTTTCAGCAAAAGAGATGTCTGATGAAAAGAAGGTTTTTATTTCGTGTATTTAGTGTTCTTACTATTATTAATATCGTTATTATTAGAGGTTTATCAATTACTATAATGTTACATAATAGTAGACTAGTGAGGTTGGGTCGTCTGGTAACGTGTATGTAAATGGCTTATCCAGCGACTTTTTTTTTAAGAAATTGTTTACACTAAGAACTTTTAAAGATACAATGAAAAATCGAAAAAAAAAATTAAGTGGGTAACCGATCTACTTTCGGAGTTGGAGCCATTTGAAAATGTAACGAAAATACTATAAAGTACATAGACATAACGTCAAAAAAAGTATACAACAAGAATGTGTCCACAGTACACGGATGCCCCACTCGCATTATCATTTTCTTTGTTCAGTGGACCGTGAAAATGGGGTCAAAACTCTAATTTGGCATTAAAATTAGAAAGATCATATCATAGGGAACATGCGTACTAAGTTTCAAGTTGATTGGACTTCAACACCATCAAAAAACTACCTTGACCAAAAACTTTAACCTGAAGTGGGACAGACGGGCGGACGAATGGACGCACAGACCGAAAAACATAATGCTCCTAGGGTGGGCGGGGCATAAAAATACCGAACTTCAAGGTATATTCAAAAAGGGGAAGTCCATAAATACTGACAAAAAAATAGAAAAATCAAATTTGGTTGAGCCACCCAAACAGACAAAATAGGTTGTGACAATAATTGTCATTCAGCAGCCAAAACTGTGTAAACATACATCACAGACATACACCACAACCGTTGTACAGTTTTACCGTGGAAATTTGAAATTTCAAGGTTGATTTATTCTGCCGTGAAAACCAATCCTACGAGTTTTCTATAAAAATTAAATTTGTTTATGATAGAAATTTCCTTAACACGATCTTAAAAGCATCAAATCTCTAAAAACAAGGACACAGATTTTCCTTTAAAAATGATATGCTGTTGCTACATATAAACTTCCATTTGATTGATATTAAATAATCATCGGTCACCTACTTCGTTTGAAATATATTAACAATTCTGTTACCGTGTTGGTAGTGAAATGGCACGTTGAAACGTTGAAAACCTACGCCTTTTAAAGCTTTACGGCGCAACGACATAACGCATATATAAATTTATGTGCTTTGCAAAGAAGTTTGTCCCCAAGAAGATTGCCTTGACAAATGTTTACCCATGATTATTTTAGAACATTAAAACAACAAATCGGATTAAGAAAAATCTTTGTGTATTGAGAAAGAAGGTTTTTAACATTATTTTGAGAACATTTTCCACAAATTTTACGTGCATTTTATACAAGTGTTTGTAACCTAGCTATGGGAAATCAAGGATTTCAATTCGGTAATATTTTAGCAAGTATAAAAGTTAAATGATTTTTTTTTCTTATTCTGTAAGAGTTCAACATGTTCAAGTAATGGGCAAACTGCGACAAATCCAATGAGAGTTTGTTGCTCGTTAAATTCAATGATGAAGGTTTGACAAAGTCATTGATGTTTTGGATGTCGAACGAACATATGCACCAAAATGTTTGACGCCGCTGATAACACCGACGACGTTAAAGTGTAGGATCGATTTTATCGGTCGTCCCACTGTCTATATCACTCTGCTCAACTCTTAATAAAATTGCATATCACGGCTTTGTGACGTCAAATACGTTGACCCGGACATATCAACGACGTCATAATGTATGAACCGACGTTAATAAGTTTGACCCGAACTTATCAAGACGTCTTCCGGTTTGCTGGTGAAACAAAGAAAACACTTTTTTTCTGTCATGCAAAATACGCAAATACAACCCGATAAATCGATTATCTGGCTGTCTGCATATTGATATTGTAAAATATCAGCTGCTCGACACAATATGAAGCCTTTTGATCTCGTTCGCTGCGCTCACTCGACAAACAGCTTCATATCGTGACTCGCAGCTGATATTTTACGATATCAGTATGCAGACAACCTGATAATCGGTACATATCTCGCTTCCACGACAAAATGTAACAGGCTTCAAAAATGACAAAGCACGCTACAGACCACACTGATTTTAGATCAACTAATATATATATGTGTGTTTATTGTGTACAATTGTAACAAATCATGTGTGAAATCATCTATCACAAATGGAATGAATACTTATTCTGAGTTCCTCGTGGATATTATAAGTACAGGTTTTATAAAGACGCGTCTTTGTGGGTTTTTTTTGTAGGAGCAAGACACCGTAACACAAGACCGAATGACTGAACTCACCACACGTTGTAAAATTGTCATTCAATGTACAGGAAATGAATTTTGTTTTGAATTACCTCCCCTAGCTAAGTTATTTTTTTTTTTGTCGTATGAGGTTCTCTTTGGGAACAAATAATTATAAAAGTCAAGTTTTAAAGTATTAATTTTTGATTGCTATTTGGACATGTGTATGACCTGTTGGGTCCATTCATGACCAAATAATTTAATCATTTGACCTAGTTAAATTTGAAAATAGTATTTATTTATTTATTAAAGAATGATGCATGCCTGTATTTAGACCCGAGGAACGGTTCCACTGAGATATATGAACAATGTACATAAGGAATGACTGTAATATGTGTTCTGTCTATGAAGTTATAAGATAAATAATGTGATGCACACTGAATAACTCGCGTAGCGGGTTATTTAAAAGTGTGCATAAGATTTTTTAGATTATTTCGAATAGACAGAAAAAAATATTACAGTCATTCCTTATAATTTGATTCTAAAAAGGAGTAAATCATGATAAAAACGTTGATGACGTCACGGTCACATAACAAAAGTATGTCTATGAACTGATAGACAAAACACTTTCAGCCAATCAGAAGACGTGTTACATCCAAAATTAAATTATTTTATTATAAATATATATAAATAAAATAAACGTTGTTAGTGGTAACTTCACGTTACAATCACACTCTGGAATAAATTGTTACGCAATCCTTATGTAGACATTAAAATATTAAATATGTCCGTTATTCCGAAAATAAAATTATCTGTTTGAATTCGGTTTATATCTACTGGTATTTACGAAAAATGTCTCTTTGTTGATTCTCTGTGGTTCTGTCGTTCCATTAGCACACTGGTAAAATGGAAATAGTTTGTATTTGATGGTGTTCCTGCTAGCACAAGTATCTAAGTGCTCACTTAGTGGTATTTGTCTATAACTCTGTATGCGAATTTGTTGTCGGTGAACGGTCATTCTCCTTAATTCGAAATGACATTCCCGTTTGACCTATGGTATCTTATCCACAACCAGTACATGTCATTATGTATAGAAGGTTTTCAGAAGCGCACGTAAAATCAGATTTTATTTTAAATATTTGGCCTTGTTTAAAATGGAATTCGGAACATTCAGACAGTTTTTTTTTTTACAAATTCCACAATTTGGTCGTCTGCATTTTGTAACAGAAATCCTACTATACATAATGACTTGTACTGGTTGTGGATATTACATAGGTCAAACGCAAATTTGAAGATCTTACATTGTTGGGCTAAATTTTAGACGAATTATGTATACTAGTATATTATGGTGTTAGCCCTGTATAACAACGTGTTATTCGATGGAGAATGTCTATCATAAAGTTATCATATGTTTAGACGTGTATATATATATATATATTTCAATTTAGACTTGTTTTCAATTTAGACTTGTTTATATATATATATATATATAATATATATATATATATATATATATAGATTGCCTAACAATGTAATTTTAACACACTATTTAGTATGTAAATATAAGAATGTTTAAAATATTTACAAAATGATGAAAATAAACGCAATATTTCGCTAGACTAACTAGCTTTATCAAGCGTGCATCTATCCAGGTGAAATCGGATGTAGATGATAAGAAACTTTTGCAGCTCAATGTATATGTTGCACTTGAATTTAGCTGCCTTGAAAATAATACATAATTTGGATGAAGTTCAAGATTTTTACAAAATTGGTAGTTGAAGTTAGCAACGTCCATTGGCCAATATTACAGGATAAAAAGGACGATATTGTGTACTAAATTATTCTTTATCCTTCCTGTATCTTTTCTCATCTTTTTCGTTAAGACCATCAGGTTCTAAAGTGTGGAGTTGGTGGATCCAAAAATTTTCTCTTCTCCTTCTCGCCGTGGTGTCCCACTCGGTGTTGACTTCTATGATTTGGAAGGTAACATTATCAAAAGAATGTTTCGTTGAACGAGTGTGTTAAAATTACATTGTTAGGCAATCTATAATTTTATTTGTGTAATTGAATTAATCTCTGTACTGATTAATCCACACTCCCATAGATTTGTATGTCATGTGCTGCTATTTATAGGCACTTATATTATTATCTTCAGTAGCACGCATTTCACATATGTTTGTGTAATCCATTCAAATCTATCGCTATCTTTACAACATGGATAGCGCACTGCATTTCAAGAAATTAAGATCTTTAACTAAAAAGAAACTACAAACTGAACATCATTTATCAAACTTAAAAAAATATATTCAAAAGGTTTAAACATCATGTTTGTGTAATCCATTCAAATCTATCGCTATCTTTACAACATGGATAGCGCACTGCATTTCAAGAAATTAAGATCTTTAACTAAAAAGAAACTACAAACTGAACATCATTTATCAAACTTAGAAAAATATATTCAAAGTAGAACTGTACCAAAAGGTTTAAACATCAAAGTGAGTCCCCAGGCACCGGGACATAAATCCAAAAGATTCATGAGCCGTTGGAATGAAATTCTGTTTAACTGTTCAATCCAGCTACTTCAACTGTTACTTTCTTTTACAACCACAAATTACAAACAAATTGTAAATGAAATATCAGATATCATCAACAGTAGTAACATTTCACGTGACGATTTACCAATAATTAAACGTCGCCTCGCAGATATTGAAAAAATTGAACTATCCAAACATAAAGAAAAACAAAGGAATAAATTTCAAAGAGATAAAATTCACACTGTCTATTTAAATCAGGATATGAATGATATCAATACAACAAACCATAAGGTCCCTAGAAAAAGAAAATTCAAAAGACGGAAACAAAAAACTGAAAGCATTGTTGTAAATTTGTCATCTAAAGAACTTACACGTGCTGAAGAATCTCTTTTAAGTAAAGGTTTAAACTTCTGTCCTATCCCATCAAATGTAAATAACTTTCAGCTAGACGAGGACTTAGACCAATTCGCTAGACGTTTACGCTTGAAAGATTTTTTCTACAATAAGGGCAAGAAAAACCTTGAAGAAGCTGGATTAACAGATTCAGATACTGACACCAATGAAGAAGTCACGCCCACCCCAAAATTTAAGAAAAAAAGTTCATGGAAACCACCTAAGAGTAAAAATGATAACTTGGAGTCATTCATTAACTACGTGAGGTCTGATATAAAGTCCTGTATAACAAATACAAGAAATTATAATTTATCCAAGTCAGAAAGCATTGCTTTGAAAGCGTTAAAAGATCAAGAGGATATCGTAATAAAACCTGCCGACAAAGGGGGCGCTGTGGTTGTCATGAATAAAACAGATTACATAGCAGAGGGAAATCGCCAACTTTCAAACTCCATTTTTTATAAACAATTAACCACAGATCCAACACTAAATAATATTCGAAGGATCAACACCATCCTTCAAGAGATGTTCGACAAAAAGCATATAGACAATGGCACCTTTGATTATCTCCGACCTCTTGAGAACGAAGCAATGGCCGGAAGATTCTATATGTTGCCTAAAATACATAAAACGGGCAATCCAGGTCGACCAATTGTTTCAGCAAATAGTCATCCAACTGAAAAGATATCAGAATTTTTAGACCATCATCTAAGACCTCAAGTGAAAGAACTACCCTCTTACATCCAAGATACGACTGATTATCTAAAGAAAATGGAAAGCCTCAATCCTCTACCAAGCAATACTATACTTGCATCCATGGACGTGTCTTCTTTATATACCAACATTCCACAAGACGAAGGAATAGCAGCGTGTGAAGAGGTATGGAACACTCGTAGTGAAAAAAATCCTCCAACTGAGTGCCTTGTTACACTTCTGAAACTAGTGCTAGAGAACAACAACTTCTCTTTCAATGAAAAACATTATCTCCAGATAGACGGTACTAGTATGGGCACAAAAATGGCCCCGTCATATGCCAACATATTTATGGGCCAACTTGAAAAACGCCTCTTGGCTAGTGCTCCATACCAGCCCTTATCATGGTTCCGATTCATTGACGATATTGATTTCAAATGGACAGATTCACAAGAACATCTTAATGAATTTCTAGGACACTGTAACTCTTTCCACCATTCAATAAAATTTACATATGAATCATCTATGGAGAAAATAAACTTCCTCGACACTACGAGTTACATCAAGAACGGAACCATTATAACGGACCTTCATACCAAACAAACGGACAAACATCAATTCCTTTCTCCTAAAAGTTGCCATCCTAAACACTGCTCCCGTGGCATCCCATTCAGCCAGGCATTGCGAATCAAGAGAATATGCTCTACTGAAAATACGCAAAATGCTAGACTTGGACAACTACGTAAACATCTAGTTGTTCGAGGATACAATAACAACATCATTGATAGCGCTTTCGAAAGAGCAAACAAAACTAGTCGCCAAGAACTTCTAGAGTACAAAGATAAGAATAAAGCAGCTAACAGAACACCCCTTGTACTCACTTACCATCCTGATTTTAAAAATGTGTCTTCCATTGTTCAGAAGCATTGGAAAATTATAGAAAATGATTCAAATCTTAAAAAAGTATTTTCCTCACCACCAGTCATGGCCTTCAGAAGACCTAAAAACATCCGTGACAAATTAGTGACATCTGTATTAGCAAAGCAGCCTACTCCATCTCCCGGTTGCTACAAACAATGTGGTCGAAGGAACTGCTTGTGTTGTAAAGCTGCCAATGCAAGCAGTTCTTTCATCAGCTCCGTTACTAAACAAAATTATACCATCTACTCAAATTCCAACTGTAAAACGGAGAACTCAATTTATATATTAACATGTGACACATGTGGCATTCAGTATGTGGGAGAAACAATGGACAAATTTAATATTCGGCTCAATAACCATCGTTCATGGTACAAAACCAACAAAAACTGTCCTCTCACAAGACATCTTCGTTCAACGAAACATTCTTTTGATAATGTTACCTTCCAAATCATAGAAGTCAACACCGAGTGGGACACCACGGCGAGAAGGAGAAGAGAAAATTTTTGGATCCACCAACTCCACACTTTAGAACCTGATGGTCTTAACGAAAAAGATGAGAAAAGATACAGGAAGGATAAAGAATAATTTAGTACACAATATCGTCCTTTTTATCCTGTAATATTGGCCAATGGACGTTGCTAACTTCAACTACCAATTTTGTAAAAATCTTGAACTTCATCCAAATTATGTATTATTTTCAAGGCAGCTAAATTCAAGTGCAACATATACATTGAGCTGCAAAAGTTTCTTATCATCTACATCCGATTTCACCTGGATAGATGCACGCTTGATAAAGCTAGTTAGTCTAGCGAAATATTGCGTTTATTTTCATCATTTTGTAAATATTTTAAACATTCTTATATTTACATACTAAATAGTGTGTTAAAATTACATTGTTAGGCAATCTATAATTTTATTTGTGTAATTGAATTAATCTCTGTACTGATTAATCCACACTCCCATAGATTTGTATGTCATGTGCTGCTATTTATAGGCACTTATATATATATATATATATATAAGTCTGAAAATTAAACCGAACAGTGTTAGACTCAGATTTTTATGCTGACAATTTTTTGTCCCACAACAGGATTTGAACTCACACTTTTGATACACTACAGCACCAATCGCGTAGCCTCATGTCCAGCGCTCTAGACCACTCGACCACATCCGCTATATAAATATATAACTTAGTCGTTGTGTAACCTTGTCACGTAAGGCGAATCTAGAGATAGATATAAGACATGTGTTTTAAGCGTGTGTAGATGTTACATTTTTTTTATACACTATGTATTTTCATTTGTCAGCAATCTAACTCAACATTTATATATGTAGGACTCTGAACCGCTATGGTACTCCGAACCGCGATGGTCACGCTGATGTGCAATGGTTTGACGCTAAAGTGCGTTTTTGATCACGCTGAAGTGCGATGGGGCATTGTGACGCTATCTTCTTGATAGCTACGCCGAAGTGCGATGGTGGCTGAATTGCGATTATCTACACAAACCGCTACATTTTTAATGCTTTCATGTCGATGTAAAAGTCAATTTTTATATGTTATATCAGTTTTTAAGGTTTTCAAGTTGATAAGGGCTTATAAACTTTTAATACTACGGGAAACGGGAAGGATTGGTGAATAGGGGGAAGCTAACCTTCTGTAGCAATTTTTCTAGTTTAAATCTACAAAAAGTTCTGTTTTACGTTCGATGGAGCGTGACATTTTCTAAATTTATACGGGTTCATAGACAGTATTCATTTAGTACGCAACTGTAATTAAGGACAGACATAGACAATACTGAATGTACATTTATGTACTAACTTTTAATAAATCTACGTGTACTTCTCATAATAATTGCACATCTGTAGATTTTAAACTAGCCATCAAGCGTCAAATAGACCATCGTACATCAGCGAACGGACCAACGCACTTCGGCGTAGACAATCGCACTTCAGCGTGCCCATCGCACTTCAGCGTCCCCATCGCACCTCTGAGTCCTATATATATATATATATAATTACTCTAAATATAAGAACAGCAATGTTAAATCTGCAAGTTTGCGGAAGCAAATTTTTGTTCTTCCCTCGCCGGGATTCGAACTCATGCTGTTGGGATATCGAGACAACACTGCCTGCACTGTGTCCAGCGCTCTAGACCACACGGCCACCTAGACTGAACTAAAAATTCAGCTTTTGGTGGCCTATTGTTACCTTTCCTCGTCAGTAGAATCTAGAGTTGTAACACAGTACATGATATATTAGGCATGAAGATGGAATTGATTGCAGATTGATTAAGTTATCTGTACTAAAGGATCGTAAGATGCAGTCACAGAAATAATATAAAGTACGTCTAAACAAGTGACAACTCTAGGACAGATCCATCCATTGGATCACCAGTGAAGGTGATACACGGCTGAAAACACCGTTGGGTGTATATAACATATATATATATATATAAATATATATATAAAGTGCCTAGAAAATCAACCTAACGATGCGGGGCTGGAACCTGTACTTTTTATTTCTAACGTCTACGACAACACCGCCTAGCATTGCGCAGACACCTTATCCCCTCCTCTATGTATATATATGTGGCAGTCAGCAGGGTTTAAGAACATCAGTTGTTCGACCTGTTAGTCAAATGCGTTTTGTTAAAATATACTTTTCACTTTTTGGTCTTTTGGAAAATGATGTTTGTGCTGTATTTAGACCCCTCTACCAAGAAATTTGTTTTACATGCACACGTATAAAAATTGCGGTTTTTATCCAACGCAATCATAGGTTTGAACGTTGTTTTCAATTTAGACTTGTTTATATTTTTTCGTTTGGTCTTGTATTATACTTTCCTTCGGGTTTATATGATCCGTTCATCCTATTTCGACTCTTTGATATTCAAGAGTCTATCCTAAATTGAGGTAAATTATATGGCCTTCCAAATACCGTTTCGATCCCTAACATCACTGAAGAGACATTAATTGTCGAAATACGGATATGGTGTACAAAATTTTGCACCTCATGTTTACGATATACCATCCATTCCGCAAGTTTATTGTTTTCTGTTTGATATTAAATTAATAATTAAGATCTATGTTACATTTGGTGATCAATTTATATTTGGCAATCGCCAATGGCAGTCAGCAGGGTTTAAGAACATCCGTTGTTCAACCTGCTAGTCAAATGCGTTTTGTTAAAATAAACTTTTTTTCACTTTTTTGGTCTTTTGGAAAATGTTGTTTGTGCTGTATTTGGACACCTCTACCAAGAAATTTGTTTTGCATTGTTGGGCTGTTGTTTAGACGAATTATATATATATAACCAAAAGTCCATTACTAGGGCCCAAGTAATGGACTTCTGATTTAACACAATGCAAATACATATTAATATCAAAACATTAATAGAACGGGTGAGGATATATTTATGGGTACATTGTAGATACAAGAACTGGCATTGTCGTTGATTAACGGTTCGCGAGAGCAGATTTGAAGCACTTGTTTTTAATTCGGTGTTCAATGAATAGATTTAAATAATATAAATATTGTTGTTAGTAACATTACAAAAATAATATTCCAACAATATAATGGCAAAATAATAATGAAATTCAAATGATGCATGTACAAACGTAGATGAATCATATACTGATTCAATTGAAAAATGTTTTGCAGGACAAAAGCTGTAATGCTATGCTTAATAAATACTAAACCAGACTTTGATGGAATGAGTCATGCATACGTGATCCATCTACCAGTTTCATTCAATTAAGATGGCATGCTCATGCATAGCAATCATCATTAAAAATCATATGCATTCACTAGTTATTCCTATCTTCAACTAGACTAAACTTCAAAAAGAATTTCCCGTAAATTTATTTGAGAAATTTTTCGCTTGAAAATCAGGGAGACGTGGGAGTCTCAGATGCCCCGGAAAGGTAAGCATTGTATTCCTGCTTCACTAGCGGCACTTGTCGTGTTGCTCAAGGGAAAAAAACGAATGATACGTAGGTCGCATTTGGTGATGTGAAAAATGTGGTTACGACAACTGACATATATATCTGTGGTCATCTGTGGTCTCAGATCTGTACTTTGTGTTTTTTGTTGTTGTGAGGGATGTATTAATTCCCTTCCACGTATGGTCTGTGTTTTTGTTAGATGTTTTTCTGCTTTTTATAAATCCCTTTTCAACTGATTTGTATTTTATAGTTTGTTCTTATGTTGTGCCGTTACGCCACGGTCCAAGGTTAGGGGTGGGGGGGTTGGCGCCTTCCATCATGTTTAACCCCGCCACATTCTATATGTGCCTGTCGCAAGTCAGGAGTCTGTAATTGAGTGGTTGTTGTTTAATGCTATTGTTTTGTGGTGTTCTTGTGTTATATAACGTTACACGTCTGTTACATGTTAGGAGAGAGTTGGCGCCTTCAGACATGTTAAACCCCGCCACATTCTGTATGTGCCTGTCCCAAGTCTGCAGTTCAGTTGGTTCATGTCTGTCATATTTGTTTTTCGTAAATTGTTTTGTTATAATTTAGGCCGTTAGTTTTCTCAGTTATTTTTCTCAGTTGAATGGTTTCAGATTTTTTCATGTCGGGGCCTTTTATAGCTTTTATAGACAATACGGTATGGGTTTTTCTCATTATTGAAGGCTGTACGGTTGCCTATAATTGCTTACATTCACTTCATTTGAACTTTGGTGGATAGCTGTCACATTGGAAATCATACCAAATGATATTTCTAGTAAATATAAAACTTGTCCCCTTGTCTTAATGTACCTTTGGTAAATATATAGCGATTCACACACCAATCCTCGTTTGGGTAGATACTTTATATTTATAAATATTTTGTTTTGTTAAAATACTTCCAGATTGGATCTCCATATTAACACTACTTGGGAATTTAGTAATACAACAGTTTGATAGCGGTCAAATTAAATTCTCAGGAACACTTAAAATAAAAGGAAACCTTAAACGTAATTTTATTAGCATCTTTAGCTCTATAGGTAGAATAAAGAATGAAAACGGGTAGTTCGATGCATATAAATGTTGAAAATATGCCCAAAAAAGTAGTGCACGTGACTTTCCATACCAGGATAAGATTGTGTAGTAAAAGTGGCACAATTTTAGGTGTAAGAGGAGTTCCTATGGGAAATCGCATTGTCTATATTTACAGGAGCGCAAACTCGATCAATTAATGACCATGTTCAAATTCAGAACATGTTCGTCGCTTCTGAAAATAAATTATACATATATACACATATAAAGGATAAATAAAATCCAAAATCTTCCTATTATAATTTCATGAAATGAGAGAGGAAAAACCCATATATTTCTATAAGATAAAATAAGTTGGGTCAAAACTTGGTGTGCGCAAATACGTCGTAACAATTTAAAACCAAAAAATGTTATTTATAGTCTGCATTAGTTTGCCTCCGCAAGGCCTCTCACTACAATATCAGTGTATTTCCTCGTGATAAATTTTGTTACATATATACAGTCAGGAAATGTTGGTCGATAATAAAGTCATGTCAGTCTGTTCGATGTTTTATAGGACACTGAACTGATAGTAAATCAACACATCAGTAAATAAACTCTTAAATGGGTAAGTTATTTAATTTTATTCTCACTGAAATAAATGAAAGAAGTTATAAAAAATCATACTGACAATCAGTGTACTGAGGCATTTAGTAGCAAGGCAGATTACAGTAAACATATAAATTAGTAAGAAAGAAATTAAAGAAAGGGAATTGTAGCGCAAGTCTACTTATTTATATATATAGAAACAAGAAGATGTGGTATGATTGCCAACGAGACAACCAACTCTCCACCAGAGATCAAATAGCATAGATGTTAATAACTATATATATATATATATATATATATATATATAGCTCACCGTACGGCATTCAACAATGAGCAAAAGCCATAACGCATAGTAAGCTATAAAAATGTGTATATCTTCAAAATATGAAAATATGGCGTGTTAATTAGCATCAGACCGCTAGCCTCCGGGTGCTAACATATCGTTGTTGCACATGCCATTGAAAGGTTTAGTTATTTTGCATTTTAAATTGTCTATATCTGATTTTTTTTTCTCTCTCTTCGTGACTTCAGTTCGTTCTTGGAAACGTTCATGTAAACTGATTTATTTACATTCCAATAGATTTTAACAGCTTTTGTTTTCCAAAATAAAAATCTTTGTTTAAATTTAGTACAACTTCAGATGCCAGTGCGACCTATATTGGACAACTAATTGATTTTCTGGCAGGAGGGAGTTGGTGCAGGAAAGGGGTTAGATTTTCGGGGACGGAATATTCCATTACCTGCAATGCTGGTTTATTTATCATGTTTCGTGTGGATTTTGCTCGCGAAAAGTGATGTTGATTTTGTACACAATTACTTCTGCAATTTGAGGGGCGGGCAGATTATTAATGTTCCTCCGGACTTGGGCAAGATTATTTATTATAATTTTTTAACCAGGATAGCATATGCATTTCCAAAATTATCCTGTCTGTCCCCTTAACCCCCCCCCCAAAACCAACCAACCAAAACAAATCAAAAGGATTGTTCCATAAAGATTTGAAACCTTCTTACCAGAACACGCTCTGCAAACAACAAACAACAAGTATTTTAACGATCAAAGACGCTCAGATCTTTCTATATATTTTTTTGAATATCTGTCTGTCTCAATTTTTAAAGAGTGAGCGCTTATTCTTAATTTACAAATTGACTGTCTTTTTTTAAAATCCTGTAGTTCTAAATATTTTTCTTTTTTAAAACAATTTTTTATAGAAAAATAAGTATCAAGCTTCCTTTTTTCAGAGTTAATTGTTTGATACTTCAGTCTATTCCAAAATGTTAAATAACTTCCACATAGTTTATTTTTAACATACTGACATAAAGAACCAATTGATTGGTCAAAATTTGGTAATTCAATCTCTCTCTCTGAATATAATCTATACTAGAGTACCATGTATTTACATTAGAAATATGTAATTGTTTACAACATATGAATGCATCAAATAATAATCCTTCTTTCAAACCTTCTAGTCTATGACAATATTTTAACACTGATAAAATTATAGTAAAATAAATAGGAAATCTACCAAGCTCTGACATCACAGCTATGTTACTGGACTTTCTGTTTACACCAAGAATATATTTCATAAATTTGTTATGAGCTTTTTCAGAAGAATCCTGACCAAAAACTTTTTCTAATATATAATCATTATCTTTTTTACAAGCAGCTGAATCAGTATGAAACATTCCCCATATTTCACTGCCATATAATAGTATGGGTTTAATTGTATGATCATAAAGATGTAAAAAAGTGGCAATACTAGGGTTAGATGATGACAAGCATCTCTGTAGCTTAAAACATGCTTTTAAAGATTTGTTACATCTTTACACTGCTTGAATATACCACTAGATGTAAATGTGATTCCAAGATATCTATATAATTTTGCACATTCAATCTCTTTACCTCCAAAATGTAAACAGCGTTTTAAAAATTTTCCTGGCTTGTTAAAAATTATACTTTTTGTCTTTTTTATATTAGGGAGCTACCATTTGATTTTTATGGGGGGCTAGGATGAAAAATTTTGTCCTGCCTTTTTTTCCCCCCTCTATTCAGTCCTGCCTTTTTATTTTTCACTCTATTTGGTCCTGCCTTTTTTTTTTTAAGTTTATCCTGACTTTTTTTTACATAAATTGTCATCCTGCCTTTTTTTTGGCAAATAATCTCATCCTGCCTTTTTTTTTTACTCAAAACTCCTGTCCTGCCTATTTTTTTCAAATTTCATCCTAGCCCCCCCCCCCCCCCCCCCCCCCCCCCCAAAAAAAATCAAATGGTAGCTCCCTTAACATCAAAACACCATCCTAAACAATATTCATGTAACATATTAATTCTCTTTTGCAAACCTTCCTGTGTTTCTGAAATAATTACTACATCATCAGCATACATAAGACAATCTACTCTACGGTTATTAATATTTACTGGATCAGGACATGATAAAAACTTGTCAGGTAGATCATTAATAAATATTTTGAAAATATTTTGGCTTAAAACATCACCTTGTCTAACCCCTATAAATGATTTAAAACATGGGGTCATTTCATTATCAATTTTAACACAGAGGTCACTTTTATTATACATATCTTTAATGATAGAATAAAACTTTCCAGCAATATTGTTTGTTAATAGCTTATATCTGATACCCTCATGAATCACTTTATCAAAAGCCTGTTTAAAATCTACAAAACAGGCAAATAGTTTACCCCCCTTTTTACTAATATATTTATCAATAATGGTTTTTGAAACAAAAACATGATCAGATGGTCTACATTTTTTTGAAAATCCAATTTGACATGGATTAATCAATGATTCTTTTACCAAAAAATGATCTAGTCTATTATTCAAAACAGAGTTAAATAATTTACCAACACAAGAATTAATGGCAATGCCACGATAATTATCTGTTTTACTTGGATCACCAGACTTAAAAACAGCAAATAAATAAACTGATGACCACTGCATTGGATATATACCAGATGAAAATACATGGTTAAAAAGTTTCTGAATTAAAGGATTTAGAACTAAACTTCCTGCCTTTAGCATCTCATTAGGTATACCATCCAGACCTGATGCTTTACCACTTTTGAGTTTAGATATTGATTCAAATATTTCTTTAGTAGAGAATCTATAATCTAATTCACAGAAAGTTTTATTTTTTTCCATATTTTCTATTTAAGAATTAATTTCTTTAATTCTTGTCTCACTGATTGAAGGAGATTTATTCAAATCTGAAAAATGATTAAACCAGGTTTCTGGTTCTACTAACTTTTCTTTACTATCATCTGTAGACTCCTTTAAAGAATTAATAAGTTTCCAGTATTGTTTTGGATCAGAATCTCTTAAATTATCAAGACTATTCAGGATGGACTGTTTAAATGTGCACATTTTATATTTACACAATTTATTATATTCTCTGTAGCATTTATAATATGAACCTCTGATGATAGGATCATACGGAAATTTTGACAATAATTCATCTTTTGATACTAGAGTTTTCCTCTTTACACCTAAATCAGAATCAAACCATTTACAATTAGGTTTTTTTTTATAGATGATTTATTGCGAAAAATATTTGCCTTTAAAGCAGCAACATTTATAATATTTAAAAAACCAGAAACTGCTCTCTCTCTGAATCTTCATTGTCATAATCATGATTCATAAAATTATTTTAAAGAGTTTTGCAAACAGGGTGGCAAAGTGCATCTTGAAATTTACTGGTTGATGATTTTGTCCACTTATAACCACCTGGAAATGCATGCATTTTAAATTTATTAACAGATAAATGTGAAGAATAAGTTGCTAAAATTCCTAAAGACAACTTACAATGACAATATCTGAAAAATTTGGGATGAAATCTGATATTTTGAAAGATAAAATTTTAGGTAAAAGTGCTTCTGAAACAATAACATAATCTACAACACTAGATCCTGTGGGTTTATGGCATGTAAATTTACCATACAAATCACCCAATACTCTTCCATTTAAAATTCTCATGTTTTTAGATATACATAAATCTAATAACTGTTTACCTCTAACAACGACCTTACTATCATAACTATGTCTTACATCTTGAATGGTATCACAATCAACATCATTTTGTATAAAATCTATCTCTGATCCTGACCGAGCATTCAAATCACCACATAATATAATATCTCCTAACTGTTTATATTTGCATGTTATATCCCTTTCAATACTGTCTAATACATCATCAGTCGTCCTGAATATGCATGAAATATTTGCCACTGGACGTTAAGCAACCAACAATCAATCAATCAATCAATACATCATCATCAGACTGATGTAAATAACTTGACATACTTGGAATTATATAGGCTAGACACAGAAATATATCATTTGTTAGATTAAAAAAGTTCTTATTCAGTTTAATCCACTGATAATCTTTACTGGTATTTTGCAAAATTTTTATGCCTGGACGGATAATATTCTTTATTAGTATACCGAGGCCCCATAAAATCTTGAATTTGAGGACTGTGATCTACAAACTGGGAAAAAATTGTATCCCTCAACACTAATAGGGGTGTTATATCCCAAATGTGTTTCTGTCAATAGTATGCTGAATTATCTGTTTTAGAAATGAAGGGTCGTGTAATTTATTGTAGGATTTAGAAATTAAGCCCCCAACATTCCAAACACAAAAAGATAAATTAGATAATAGAATATTTTTGTGCTTATTCATTACTTCAATTTAATATTTAAGAAATAGTGTTGTTAAAATGTGGACTAAAATATTCAAGTAACTTGGGAGAGAAAAATAAAAGTATACATATGCATGCATTGGTTCAATATTTTCCGTAACATTAAAATTACAAGAAACTCGTTTCATATGACTTTAATCATATTTTGAATCTCTTACAATGCCCTAGTGTGAAAAACAGTTTAATTCTTCCTTTTCACAACAGCGGAGGAAATTTCGCTACGGCGAAGCAATCTTTTTAATATACGGTTTCACGCTATTCATCTCTGTATGGTAGGTGAACATTTTCCCTTTCCTTCTTGTTATGCCC